GTCCGCGCGCAGACCAAATACCGCTGTTTAATATCTCGGCACACGACAGAGATATCGAAACGATTCTTTTTGCGTTCGATTCTAAACAGTTTCGCCGTCCTAAGTTTCGAGTTTCATCGCGATCGGTTGAAAAACATCGATGCTACGACGAATTTCTGGATAGCCATACACCGAGGCGTACTCGCGCGAAACTGGGACTTTCCCGTGAAACTATCGATACCTCTCGAGTCGAGATCGATCCGTCGACGATCGGTAACATCGCAGATCGAAGATATCTGCAAAGATAGAACCGCAAGGGAGGAAAAGGAACGGTAGGAAAACTGACGCGTTTTCTCAGCCTGTGGGTGCTCGATTTTCACGATCGAGATTATCCTGGAAGTTTTAACGAGCTACTCGAGCGATTAATCGCGCTTAACCGTGGTCTGTTTGGATTTTAAGGAGGATGTAAATCAACGCGCGCCGCGGTTTCTGTCCGCGAACAAAAGGAGGGTGTGGCGGATTTACGCGAGTTTACGGCTCGAAATCTAAAATAGAACGGCCCCGTAAAGGCCGCCACGGTCGGCGGCCTCTAGGATACGTGAAATTTAAGACGTAGAAAGTCCGCGAGTTTATCAATCACACACGGTTTCGCGCGTGAAACTGCTCGACATCGCTCCCGTTTGACCGCTTCCACTGGCTGTGGAGAAATTACTATTAGCGCACCCGCCAACGTTGTTTAACCTTGTAAAGATCAAAGCTGAATACATCGCGGCGGACAAAGGCAAAGATGGACGACGTTTACTCGATCTAGAAAACTACCAACTATCGAGAGTTACCGTAAAATGTAATAAATACAGAGACGGAGCGGGTAAGCCGGAAGTGTGCGTTTCCGTGTATTGTTTTGTATGGAAACCTTGGAAACAGAGGAGGGAATTAGTTTCCCGTAGATCGCAGATATGTACTATAAATTCTTATGTACATACAGTCAGTCTCGCAAGTATTCGTACCCTCTATCGAAGAAATTTGTCTAAACGAATGATTCATTATAAATATGCGCATAATTAGGATTCACATGTGCATATCATTATAATGAAAAATTTATCTGGAAACATCAAACCTTTCGATAGTCGCTATTTACTTTTACATTCTGTAAAAAGCAAGCATAATCGTCGATCTCGCAGTCACCGTCATACGGCAAACAGTTACCGGTATATTTACAATTTAAATTATACGCGTTTCCATAACTTTTCCTCATCAACCTCGCGTTTCGCCTTTGCATTCTACGCGGGAACAATCGTATAAACGAGAGGACGGAAGGCCAATCGTAATGGACTGATTTTCATAGCGAAACTGTTGCGCTTCGTTGTAAGCCAACGAAGGATAAAAATTCGATAGAAACGTAAGTGCGATCAGCGGAAACGCAGAAGAGAGAATTAAAGATCGCGCGATACGTACTAACAGCAAAATTATGCGAGAAAGACGGGAATCTGGTTATCATTACAACTGGTAGTAGAAACCAGGTTTTCGTAGAGGTAAATATCATTCCACCGGTAACCGTAGAACATCATTTATGCAATGAAGTTAACGGAAAAAGAACCTATAACATTCATAAATACAATTTCCATGTAAAATGTTACCGCGCAAATTTAATCTAATATCGTACACTCGTACAATTGTCGAGATTTTCGGTCTTTCCAAAACCGCGGGCCATCTTTGTCAGGACTTGGTATTCGTTTGCAATTTTGCACAAGTAGAGGAGTTTATTTTAACTCGCAATAAACGAAAACAGTGAAAAGTGTCGAGCACGCGAGTGGACGCACGGTCTATCCAGCTTCGAGTCGGACACTGTGTCGACACCATTTCTTTCACGCACTTAGAATTTTAATGGCCGAACCCAATGTCGAAAGCAGCAGTCCTTAATCGCACCGCTTCGCTGCTAGAATTCAATTAATTTCGCGTCAATGACCGTTGTCCAGGGCCTTTTCGATGGACGGTGGTCTGCGACCGCAATGGTACGTAAGTAACATATGCGCGAAAAGTAAGAACATCAAGTTTCGACGCATACGTTCGCGTTGAAACGAAATTCGCGAAGCGGAGGGTCGGAAGAAACGAGGTATCGTAACGAAAAATACGAAGAACGGGATGAGAAGCGTGTCGAATATTTCGCTAAATAAGACCCGCAGGTTTTAAGTCTTCCGCTGAAGTAATATGTTTGAGAAACAAAAAACTCAGCTGTTTCGGTCGCTATCGATCGTAAGATCTCGAACGGTTTTCCTTTCGCAAAAATTCAACAAAACGAAACGTAGAGAATGTGGGTGGAGAATAGAGGAAACCGAGGCGACGGGGAATTTAGCTCCAGCTCGAAGCTGGTCAGCCGCATTCGTGCCTGGGACGTGTTTCGAGGGAAGGCCCCTGGAACCTGCCGAGCTAACAAAATGGTAGGACCCACCGCGCTGAGATGAAAATCGAGCAACAAGGCCCTGACCGCCTCTGGCTCCTACAGGGTGTACATGAAATTTGGGACTTGTGCCGACACGTTAAATACAGGTATTACACCCATATTTCTACCCTCGTAAAAATGTCCTCGAGGCCTTTCAAAGCATACAGCCTTTGATTTCGTTGTCTTTTTGGAGATAAATGTTTACTTGAAACTCCAAATATAATACAGAATGTCTAGATAAAAGAATATAACCGCTCAGATCAACGTAACGTAATAAAATGTAACGCAATGGTTTTGAAAAGTGAAAAAGAAACTTCGTACATGAAGTACAGAGTCCGTTAACGTTATCAATAGATTCGAGTTACAAAAGGAACGAAAAATATTTTCAATGCAGCCGCTAACAACCCCCCACTCGTCTAAATTTATCGACAATAGCGCGTATCGCGTAATCGTGGAAGAATCCCAATCTTCCGAATTTTGGCACTCAGCCCCTTTGCGAGCGCGCTCTGCGAACTACTCCAAAAACTTCCACCGCGAAGTTACCATCCCGAACTTGCTTCGCTTCGAAATACCAAGAGTCGAAGACGACGCAAACATAAAAAAAATGGCAGGTCTTATCAGCGCCAACGGATCCACTAATCCACAGTCGACGAGTTTCCCTCCGCGCGATTACTTAACCGCAGCCTATCGCGATATTATCAACGACGCGACTTCTCCCCACCTACTCGGCGGGAGAAAGCCAGCTAAAAATTGAATAATCACGACGCCTCGACGCTGATACGGCGACGAGCGGTGTCCAACGCCCGACGACGCGCATTGTCTCTGTTTGCGGCACACAAAGCGAGGGACTACCACACGCGTGCACCGCGACATTCTTCGCGCGACAAAAAGGAACGTCCTCGGGTTCTTCCCACGCGTTATCGTGCGAGGCTGCCAGCCAGCAGCCGACCTCGATGTTCGTAAATTTCGGTTGTCGCCCGTCCGCAACCTCGCGCGGTGCTCCGACGACGCTCGCTTCGGGGCTCTTTCAAACATGCATCGACTTTCCGTCGAGCGAAACTTTCGTCCAGGACCGCCCTTTTACCCGAAATACCGCCCCCGTTCGTGAGTATCCGGGCAAATGGTATTTTTTAAAGAGAGCGACACGATAGAACCTCGATCATTAACAAAAAATGGGACTGGGGACTCTTGCAACAACGAAGGTGAACAATCTGAGAAAAAGCAGTAGTACGGGGGCGTATCCCCAACCTTATCTGTCGTTTACCAACCACCTTCGTTCGGAAACACCGTGCAACAAGGCTCCAGGATAATTATCGTGTAATAATCGTTATTTGTGTAGTATCCGCGCCTCCCGTACCCCATAATAAGTCGAACGAGAATACGGTATTGGTCGTGTAGGTAAAGACTCCTACATTTACAAGATAGAGCAACAATTTGGAGATCTATGCAAGCTACCACGAACCACCATTGCGGTACTACGCAAACCAATCTGTGAATGGTGCGACGTACATCTATCGTTTTTTTTTTCGATTAAAGGATTAGTCATTGCAACTCCTGCCCTCTTTATATTTTAGGAAGCGAAAACCTTTACCCTCCCCTTCTCTCATAAACAAACCATGGAATATTCTACCGCCATTGGATTCGTACCGACACGAGCCTGTATTCCAACAAACGGCGTCGGTGAACATGTTTTCATCCACGGAATAGTGGAAACAAATAGATATTTAACTCTCCTCTGTTACGGTCGGGTCAAAGCGACTGACATATTAGTTCCATCATTAGGTGTTTGTATTGTTTGCGCAACTGTGAAGACCGAATTCAGTAAGACTGATATCACCCAAAGGTTACAAATAAAAATCAATTCAGTTTTAAAAAAAATATGGCAAGGTCGGATTCGACGCGACCGCCGCAAATTTGTGATCAGAAACCACCGTAGGAAAGGACGATCGACCCTTTGTGCTCGAGCGTGCTCGATTTCTTGAACGTACAATTTCAATTTTACTTACATCAGAATACAGCTATTTGTTAATTGAAATAATATTGCATCGTGTCATGAATGTTCATAGATGTTTCTTTACGAAGTAGAGTTTTTGATTTTACAGAAACTTGTTATAAAAATGGACTGGATTTGATCCCATAGAAAAATGCCACGGGCACGAAGGGTTAAACCTTCCAATGACCAATTTGTACAAAAGTGGAAAGCAACGAAGCGACAAAGTAAAAAGTGGCGAAGTAGCCGAATATTAAAGTAACTCACTGTACGTGGGAGCAGCGGCGTTCCGCGCGAGGCAGCGGAGCGCACTTAAGCGCCGTGAGAGGAGTTCGCGCGATAACACGGGCCCGATAACGCTCGGGACGTATACACTCGCTTCACGGTTGTAACATCGCGGTGAGCGCGAGTCGCCGCGTGTACGTGCGCTCGCTCGCCCGCACACGCTTGCACGGTTGCACACGTAAACGGCAGTCGTCTCTGTACGTGCTCGTACACAAGGCGCGGTGCGTCGCTCCGTATAAAGAGCGGTGCATTGCGCCAAGCCTCTGCGCCGCGTGCTCCCGCCGCTGAATTAATAATCGAACTTACGTGGGTAGGTGTTCGTCTACCGGGTGTCTGCGCGCGTATTTGAATCGCCCGCGACGACGAGAGCCACTCGATCACACCGCGGACTGGTACGCCTTATCGCGATGGGAGACCGTCTGAAAACAAAGTGGAAATCGTGTCACGTTCGTTGCGAAAACGACGCGTTAAAGAAAAACTGTATTTAGGGAGGAGGGTGAGTAGGGGGATGTTTTCATCGGTTTCATGTTTGGAAAATCCTTGAGCTTAAATGAAAAGGACGAGTCGGACACGTCGTACGGAACCGACCTTATACCTGACCGTGGCACGCGCTGTCCTTAATTAAGGGGCACAGTGAAGGGTTTGTTGATGCAATAAAATCTATCCTTATGTTCCCGCAGGTCTCGACAGTAATAACGAAACTACGGCGCTAATATTTAACGTAGTTCGACGTCCCTCTTCCCGCCAGTCTTCGGGTACCAAGTCGCAGAGTCGTACCCCTCGCGGTACCAACGAGATAAAGGCCACGTTTCTCGAGGAATCGTTGTATCAAAGTGCAGCTTGTATCAAATATAACCATCGGAACGTTTTAATCCGTAATATTACGTATGGGAAAAAAGAGAGGAAAGAAATTCACCACGCTCTGTACGCTACGGCAGGAAGAGATTTAATGAGGTTCCCTTTGACTGCAACATGCGCGCATGTGTGGTATTGTTTCGATAGAGGTACAACGGGAGCTCGATTAACCGATTTAATCCGAACCGAGGCGAATCGATTAAATCGTGATCCATCGCGTAATCGAGACCAGAGAAGAAATAAATGCAAAATTGGTGTTTTATGTAAGCGCCTGCGATTTATCGAGACTGCGTTAATTTCGCAGAATTGCTTTATTTCGTGGAGCTTTTAACGCTTTCGGAAAGAGGAGGAATCGGCTCCGTGTCTCAACGTTAGGAAAGCAAGAAAAATGTTAGAAGACTTTTTCTTATTAAATCCGAAAAGATCTCTTTGAGCCGGCGACCCAATAGCGAAAAACTAAATAAATACAGAACATCGTAAGTGAAAATCATTTTCTCGTAACTTTTATGTTAATGGCTAAGCGAATAAACATTTCGATGCTGATAAAGCCGTGTCGACTAACGAGTTCGACGTATTCCATATTCGCGACGTTTAAAAATACAGGAAAGCTTTTGAAGCTTTCGGTAACCGTACATTTCTGAACAGGGATCGTTCGTTTGACGCGCAAATAGTTGCAAATTGCTTCGCGCAAGTACCACTTCACCCGGTTACATGCTACATACCGCCGTGGAAGAGGATGTTAACCTACTCGAATTGAAGTTTATCCACGAACAAGGATGTTACCGATCGCGCTGTAAAACTACCAGATCGACGTTGTAAACGTTACACCACGGAAAATTCCGGTCGAAGACTCGCGTCCGAGTATCGGGAATAAAAATGAAAAATGTAGAAACATCTGGAAACGATTATCGATTTCAGAAACGTTGAAAACAGAGCGCATCGAATATCGTTTCTCCTCGTACGTTATTAAACTGTCGCGGGACGTCAAGCGATTAATCCTTTAACAGTTATAAATTACAAAACGCATATGCCTTCGAGAAAAATCAATAGCGCAATTCTGTACGAAACGTACAGCGAAGACTACGTATCAAAATTGAGAAGTCAGCGAATAATTCGGTTCATTCTGATGCACATCATAATTCCACTAATGATATCGCTGGAACGAGAAATCCAGAAATATCCCACGCAATGTCGGTTACAATAAAATATGCAATAATGTTAGAACCGGTTCAAATGTGTGTTTAATTACAGACACCTTCGTATCGCTTCGTTCGAAAGTCAATTAAAATAAAGAACTTCTCCGATTCAACGTCGGTCATATATTCCTAGAACACGATACACCATATTTATGCACGCGTGGTAAGAAGCCTTTCATTTGGAAACGTGTCGGTATGTCACGCAAAAAAAAGTCACGGTCGGTAATCTTCCGAATGCATCCGAAGATGTCTCCACGGGTCTAACCTAAAATGTCACTTTTCTCGAAAACTAATCGTCGACTCGCGACGAGCCATATATAACTAAACATGAAACATGGTAGAGAAGGGTATGCAAAAGATTTCATCGCGATATCGTTAGCGGATTCTGAGATATTAAATGGTCACTTTTTCCAACCTGGCTGCTGTTCCAGCTCGGCTGTCCCACTCTCTCTCCAAGCACCACGCGCTTCGTCAAATCCGCTCGAACGGTCTTTGCGTGCGAGTTTCTCACACGATTTAATCGCTACGAAAACTATTCTTGCTATGCACTTTTCAACACTCGAATTAATCCCTCCACGGTCGATCGCGATCTACGAATGACCACGTAAACTATCCTGAACGTAATGGAACGCCTGAACGACCGTAACAAAGAAGAAGACTCCATTAGTGGTCAATCGATACATCTTCGATTATCTTTCGATACCTCACGACATCTAGGGACAAGAGGTCGATCTTGTAAGGTGCGTTTTCATCTAGGGTTTCTGTCACATTGTACGGTTCGCAGTCCTGTCATACATGTATTTGTACGATATTAAAACGATAGAAAGGATGCTTATAAATATGAAACGTTCGATCTGACGATAATCGCAGCGACGAAACGACGCAACGTCGCCGCGCATTGTCTGTTTCATGGTTATTAGAATCCGTCGTGCTCGGATCAATTTCGTGACATTCGCGATCGATAAGCTTCGATTCGACACGGTGTTTCTAGCAACGTACACGCTGTATTCGAGATCGAAAGCTTATCGTTAACGTAGTTCGCGTTACCAATTCTCGATTCATTTTACGGCTATTACTACTTAACCGACGCGTACAGCGATTACTTAACCTATTCTCGTATCGCTATTTCTTAACCTATAGCTTCTTTTAACCTTAAACGCGGTAGAGGGGTATATGGAATCGAATAGTTGCAAACCTAGCATGGTACAGATACATGGCATCCTAACAATCCGCGAGAGAATGTCATGCGCTACGGGAGCGGTTTCGATGTTCGATAGTAGATTTTTCAAAAGACATACTACGTACTATTCGATTTAGATCCACGAAGAACGCGCCACGCCCTGCTTTCGACGTTGCCGTGTGCGCGATGGACGGCCCGCATAATGAGAAACACGAATCAGTGGCCTCATCGTTCTCCCGTATCTTTGGTCGCGTGCGCTGCGGCTTCGTGCGCGTTTGCCCTTGCTTATCGCGTTCTTGCGCAGCTTTAATTAACTCGCCGCCATCTCTTGGTCGCTATGCTGTTTCTAAGCACTTTCGCTCTTTATGTTTATTTTACGAAAGTATATCTCCTCGTTCGAGCCATAGAAACGGACTTGTTTATCTCCTACGTAGAGGGCACAGTTATTGAAACTCGCATGCGGCCGTTGTGCACCATAGACTACACATTTTAAGATATGCGCATATCTAAACAATCCATGCAACTCGTGATTTACCGTATCGATTCGATCTATCGTAACGAAGTTGTCCAGACATCGGCAACTTGGTTCAGTGGTCGATACGCGGCTTCGTTCTCGATCGCACGGTCTACTCGAATTAGAATTCTAATTCGCGTTGTCATTAGTAGAACGATCAGCATTTCAATCACAATAACAGGAGATAATACGCATGCAATAAACACTCTGGTTACGTAATCGATATATTCTAAAATTAAAACAGTTCTCATCCGGTATTTATCGATGTTTACTGTGCGCATCGTGGCATGACCATGGTTTTAGTCTAACGCTATCGAACATCGACTGCAGCAGTTCAATCGCGACGATCGACGCGAAAGAAGCTAGACGCGAAAGAATCTTCTTTCCAAGAGGATCAAGGAGGTTACTTTAAAGACGTAAAATACGGTAGAGATGACGGAGAACAAAGGAGAGCATTGGTTATCCCGCGAAAAGAAGGAAAAGGAGGGAACAAGCCATAAGTTGCGTACCCGAGGCACGCCATCTACGTTGGCTTTGTATATTCCATGGTTACGCAATGTGCGCGACTCGAGAAAATCTGACGCGCGACGCGCGCTCGCATTTTTTACTTTTGTGCCACGGGCTCGTGCAGCACTTCGTACGACAATTGATTGAGTTTAAAAGAGGGACAAGATTCGAATCGGATGGAAAAGAGGGAAGGGGAAAGCGAACTCGTGAAAGAGGGTACGCGACTACCATCCTGCCACGATCCGTCCAAGCAAGGGCACATCGGGCAATAGAGACGGATTACGAGAGCGTTACGAGCACGGTGCGAAGGAAGAAAGGTGAAGGATGAAAGGAGAAGGGCGGAAAACGTAGACAAAGAGACGAAGAAAGGGGAAAGGTGCATGGACGGAGAAAGGGTGGGGAAGAGCACAAGAGAGGAAGATCGGTCTCGGTGCAAGAGCGTAGTGGTTATAAAGAGAAGCGGCATCGCTGCACGGCTACTTGGCTCTCCAGGGCCAGGATATTTCAATACCGACGGTGGTCGGCCACCGCCGACGCGGGTACGGAGAGGGGAAATGGTTGTGACGATGTGCGCTCGTATATATGTAAATGTATATATGTACCTTCCCCTCGGGCCCCTCATCCGGGTGCCCGCCCTACGCTTGCACATACGATATATACGACTTTACACACCCGTGGGCGTTAAAGAGAAAGAGAGCGAGAGAAACAGACACGACGAAGACCGGTGGGCACAGTAGCGCTCCGCTATTCGGGTTTCCTGGATGAGGGGAAGAGCGATCAGGAGGGAGAAAGAGTCTGTCTCTGTTTTAACATACAGAGGGGGAAAGTTGCGGCAAAACGGAAAGGCTGGTGTTTAGGGGACTGCAGGGACGCGCGCGGCGCGGTGATGGGGACCTCGAACTGAACCGTCGACCGACGATTGTCTGTAATCCCGCCTTCTCGGCGAGTCGAGGGGAACCGACGTGGGCTGTGCCACTCGTTGATTGGTCGACCCGCCGTGCGGGGTTCGGAGCGTTGGTGGCGCCTCGGGAATCCGACCAATGGAGCGCCACCGTCGTGGCTTTTTTATCCTGCTATTTACGCCGAAGGACGGAGAAGAGCAGGCTCCCCAACTAGCTCTCTCGCTCTTTTCGTATCTCTCTCCTTTTCCATTGCTCGACCGCTCTCCCTGTGTGTTCGTCGGCACGGGAGAGGACACTCTCGTTTCGGGATCCGTTCAAGTTGCACACGTTTCACGAGAGGAGCGCCGCCCGTATATTGCGACGCGCTCTAGTCTACGTCGTTTGTACTCGATACGGTACACGATCGTCGTCGCGATTTCGTCGAACAATCGTTTTCGAGCGTCTATTTACTGTAAAAGCATCGTATGCGGCGACCGATGCCGTGCAGTGGTGTTATGTAGTGTGTGACAGTACGTCACAAGAGGATACAGTGTTGCCAGATCGTGGGCGCGAATACACAGCAAGAGCGGTACTTGGATTCGGAAAAATAAGTAATACAACCGCGTGTGCATTTGCGAAGAGACATAAGGATCGATTCATTACGATCGCGATAGAAAATCGTGAACGTTACGATAGGACTGTGCATTCTCGAAATAATCGGTAGTGCGCCAGTGACATTTGGTGCGGTACTATCGACAAAATAAAACCGGCAACGTCGCATCGACTACTCTCGCACACAAACGCACGCATACACGTACCTAGAAGGGAACTTGGGGTGGCTGGCTAGCAGGCAGGCGGCAGGCAGGCAGGCAGGCAGGCAGGCAAGCAAGCAGGCAGCTTTCTTGTTCCGAGGACGGCGCTCCTGGTCGTGCCGTCTCTCTTCTCTACCTCCATTGCGCTTGCTCTTCTCTCCCTCTTCTCTCTTCCCCTCTCGTCCTCGGTCACTCAATCACACTCTCCTTGTTTTACTTTCTCTCTCGCTCTTACTCGTATGCGGCGCACGTACCGTTGAGAGCTTCTCCCTCCCCCTTTGGTGGTCTTTCTCTACCGTTACCCCCTCCCCTCCTAACCTCGAGCGGGTCGGGCGAGTCCACTAAGCTTGCGAGGGGAGTTCGGCAGACCTCGGCTCTAGTCGGCCTCGATCTGCAGAATGTGTTAGACGCTGCGAGTCGATCGCTCCAGTTTTCGAATATTCGCATATAGAGGACCTGCCTTGTGTTCACCGGGCTTGCATACCTCTTTCCGCGTTTCGTTCGCGGATCCACGAGTCGCTAGTGCCTGTATCGACGTTGATTTTCACCATCAGCTTGGGACGCACTCGACTAACGTATATCCGTACGACGGCCATGTTTGGTGTTTACGAGGTGAGGGGGAATCGCTGACGTCACGAGCCCCGATCTTGCACGAAGGGAGCAGCAGCACCAGCAGAAGCAGAAAACGTGTTGCCGGCCAACACACACACCAAGTCCGTACACAACTCCGAAAAAGACGAAACGCCGTCGAGTGAGCCGAGTGCTCGACGTATATCGTACGCGAGATTATCGTGCGTTGAACACGCGAAGAAGGAACTCACGGCGCGCAAACTGTGCCGCCTGAAATTCCCTTCCCGATGGGACGTGCGTGTACGCCGACTTCGCTCGTATTCGCCGGTCTTACCGCGACTACTAGCCTTTCAAAAAACATCGGGCGCATTGCCGCCTCGCCGCTGAAATAGCAGCCACTCTAATCACCGTCGGTCGACTCTGATCAGTGCGGAAAACATCGAGCAATGCCGAGCGTTCTCGTATTCGAGACAACACGTGCCGCATCTTGCCCCGCGCGATTCTCATCGAAAATGTTTAACACGTCGAAGATGCGATCGAATTGATCGCCCTTCGGTAACACGTGGTCATCGTATTGCGAGTTGTGCAACGTCCGCGCTAAAAACGACGACGGAGCTTTCCGAGCCATCGGTGTAATTAGCGCTACGTTTTTCATGCTGAAACAACGATCATTTTGTTGTGTTCACGTGTGTCAACCCAATTGAATTGAGTGTTGTGTCGTGACCGATCGAGTATTGGTACATATGGTGTTACATTGCACAGTGTGGATTATTAGTGACACGCATCGCTCCTTTATCGGATATATTACCAGCTCTCGCATACGTCTAACGAACAAGGATTAAAACATCATGGATCTGGGTGACAGAGTTTACGCTGCGGAACGGATTACGAAGAAGAGGGAAAAGCGGGTAAGTAAGAGAACTGCTAACCGTCACCGATAGATAGCGCCACGAGATGGAATCTGTTTGTCTATGCGCCGTTGCCACTTGCTCCCCCTTTCCGCGATCTCTTTCTCTTTCCCACTATCGTTCGAACAATTCTGCCCCTCCCGTAGCGATTTCTATCTTACACGATGCTTCCCGATATCTTCCGTTAAACCTCGTAGACACGTTTTTACCGATACACTCTCCTTTCATACAAAGAGACATTGTACTATTTTGCGCGTACTCACATTCTCACGTTTTTCTCTCGATACGAATTCAGAAATTTCATTCGATAATTAATTCGAAATTCTCAAAATTTCGTACGCTACGCCAGATGTTCTATCCGTTGGTCGTGCAAGTATCGGGTATCGGTATAAATTTTAAGGCTGTCACGGTTTATACGGAAATGTTGGTGGTTTCATCGTAAGCCGGTGATCTTCGAAGTAGTAACGACGCGTCGAGGCTGACAACGTTGTAAATCGACATAAAACATGCGAGAAACTTCTCAGCTGCGACCGGCTCATGCGCGATAAACCGACATGTCCTATACCTGCACAGTTATGTCATTGTTTTCCAACTGTCACACTGGCTGCGCACCGCGACCGGTCGGCATGCTGTCGTTCATTGGCCGACGGCCAATAGGTGAGCCGTACGAGCGGCTCTCGTGGAAGTCAACGCCGCCCGTTTTATCGACCGTACTCTCTCAGATGGATTCGAAGATCCGTTCTTTGACGCAGACGCGCGAAACGGATTTCTACGATCGTTTCGATTTCGACCAAGAATTTCATTAAATTAAAACTCACGATGAATAAGTCAAACTCACGGTATCTCTGGGCTAACGAGTAGCCAGAGTGAATCTCTACTAACGGAATGCCTCGGACATAACGCGATACATACGTTTTGGAGTAGAACTGAATTATTCGGAAAGCGTGGCGCGCGACGTTATTACAGAATCTTTTCTTAAATTCATCTCAGAATTGCGTATAAAACTTTTGTGGCAATGGTTGTAAACGAACAAATTTATCGCAACTTTGTTTTCATAGAAAATCGTTGAAAGTACATGTATGTAAATAAGTTGTTTCTTGTTCGCAGGGCAAAGTGGAGTATTTCGTGAAGTGGAAAGGATGGAGTAAAAAGTAAGTCGAGAACAAATGCGATCGAATTATTATCAGGCTCGTTCAAAGAGACGGCGAAAGTAACTATCTTCCTGTTTCAGATACAACACGTGGGAACCAGAAGAGAACATTTTAGACGTCAGGTTAATCGAGTTATACGAAGAAAGTCAAAGAGGAGGGGAGATCCTACCTACGAGAAGACCTAGGCGGAGGGATACCAGATACAATGTAAGATTATTTGTATGTTATAAATAATAAGCGTTATCGTCTTTTCATTATAAGTAAAGTAAACATTAAAAATATTCTTTTTTTCGTACATACAGGAACAAGTTCTGGCCAATTTAGTCGTCGAAGAAGAACCTGGTGGAGACGAAAGGGTCGGGGAAGATAGCCAGGACGAATCGACTACGGGTAGTACGTCAGCTCCTCGCTTGAATCCCGTTGCACCTGACGAAGATACGCTTCCGAGTTCCCTCGATGGCCACGAATCACCCACTGTCCCGGAACTGTCGGCGTCCGCGTTTAGCGTCGATTCAGATAGCTCCAATAGCAGCGTGGACAGTCCTCTGCTGCCAAGGAGAGAACCAACGGGTACAAAAAGAAAGGCTGAAGTTCTCAGCAAAGAATCGGGGAAAATTGGTGTTACCATTACCACGAGCAGTCCCAGCAGCGGTAGCGGAAGTCCACCACCAAATAAGATTCCTCGGTTATTACCTCTGAAAACTAATCCTTCGTCTCCTCCTTACCACGTAAGTATTAATTTATCATACATGGATGTTTTTCAAAGCAGGAGACGTTTCGCATTCCAAGGGGACCTCGAAAGAAGATAGTTTGTCTGAAGAATTTCGAAAATCACGAAGGTGGCTTTTGTTCCGTTTCAGAGTCACAAAATTAACGGTAGAAGGCCGTCATCGTCCAGTGTGAAGTCGACACCCGAGGAACCGCTTCCAGCAGTACCGACGACACCGGCACCAGCGACGCAAGATAAAAAGCGTCCTGAAGCAGACGTGCCACACGGTCCTCCACCCTCGCTACCGCGTGCACCACCGGCACCTTTGTCTCCACAGATAGACACACCTCTGGAGCAACCTACCAAAAAGAGGCACTTGCCGGAGCAAAAACAGGAGAAGTCGAACGGAGCCGTGACGGTGGACGCGAACGGTCACAAATCGCCCAGTCCTACGGACTCTTACACGAATAACAACAGGTTACCGACAGTCGTGAACGGGCATCATAGTCATAATAACAACAACAACCATAATAATAATAATAATAACACAAACAACAACAATACGTCGAGTTTAAAGCAAACGGAAATCACGAAGACAGACGTGTACGTCCCTCTCTCCAGTCCTGGTACGGATTACTGGCACGCGAGGAATCCAGTCGCCGACCAGGTGTTCATTACAGACGTCACGGTGAACCTTAAAACCGTTACCATCAGGGAGTGTAAGACTGAGAAAGGATTCTTCCGGGAGAGGGATCCGAAAAGCGATATCTATTAACGTTCTACGAATAGAGTACTTTACTGTGAATTTTATCGAACTACTGTAAATATAAATTATTTTCACACGTCGAGTGGTAAGCCGTGGATATATTGACTTGTAACAAGCAATTCAACTTTTCTAAGAAACAGACTTCGCGGGTCGCGAAGGATCGAAGGAAATAATTCACGAGATAACTCGCTGCTCAGTTTACGGTATCGCATCGTACCGAACGAAGTTCCAAATGCCGACAGAAAAACGATACGCGAACCTGAAATTCGATTCGTCGATTTTATTCGAACTGAAAATTTCATAGTCAGCTTCAGTATTCAAAGGGAATGCGTGTAAATCAGCGACAAAGATAGTAAGACCATCATCGTACAATGATGGTACGTTGTGGGTCTCTGTCTCGTCATGCGATTGTACACTTATACATTTTAAAACGCTTGATAGACCTTAACTCTACTAAAGATCTGAAACAACGTTAGAGGATATAATACATTTTCTCATTGATTGCATTTCCGCTTCTATTAGAATTCAGCAAAGAAAATTGTGTAAAGTAATTAATTTCGAATTTTACTATGATAAATGGTACAGATCTGGAAAGAAATATTTTTCTAATTCGTTTTTAGAATACGGAATCAGCTTCGTAGAAGCGAATTTGAAACGAAAACAAATTTTCAAGTACATAAAAAATAATGTTGTTATATTGACGACGTATTTCTCGGAATTATGATATTCTGTTGTATTTACATTTAAATATTTCATTTGTTTTTTCTTATAGTATGTAATACCGTGTCACAAAAGGGTATATCATTCGTTTGTAGATGTTAGATTCATTTAGACGCATAAACACATTGATTTCTTCGAGTTGTTAGTAGCATCACAGATTTTGAATGCACAGAATACAAAAGCAATGCATGTTTGTTAACGGCATAGCACGCAATGACTTTCTAACGTATAACGTGTTTCATCAGTTTCCGATTTTGTTATGAATTGATTTCGTGTTATTTAATGTTAGCTGTTGCATTTTTTTTTATACCGTCAAATGTTTTTCATTTGTATTTAAGGACTGACTGCGCATAAAGTGTTCGATGAGATGCTGCGCGCGATTCAATTCCAACGGTATCGAAGAATCTTTACGCATATCCTGAGAGCGCAATTTTACTTCTTGATGGGTTGTCGAGTGTATCACCAAATATATGTTCCACCTCGAACGATCATCTTGAACATAAATTGAGTACAATAACCAAATTCTAATCTTATCGAACTCACACGCTACTCGAGCATCATTTAATTTTAACGACTTCGCACCGTACAGTTCGCGTGCACTTTCAGAACCAGTAAATCCGTGATATAGTTAAATAATATAAGTGTAAAACTTAAAACATATATGTTGCTTATTTATTGTAACTAATATAAAAGTTTTTAGGTTTTTACGTTCTTAGTATAGTATTATTAGACTGTGTACGCAATGCGTCCCGTTAACGAAGCCTGAAAAACGAGTAAACTTTTCTGTGGTACATTAGAAAGAAGAAGAAAAAGCCTTCTTATAATTTAAAATATTGGAAGCACTATCATGAAAGAAGTATTCTAAGACCGCTTAATATTTTTTTATAGGTTATGCAATCTAAAATGGTGATTTATCTTGTTAAAAATGGGGCTATTTGTGTACAATTAAGTCGTGATTCCTTGCAATGCAGATTGCATGGTATCCAAGTACACATAAATCATTGTAATGAAATATTGTATATTGAGAAGAGGTATTCTGTATAAAGTGTAAATAGTCAGAAACTTACACTCTATAATAACAGAGCGAGATAATGCGTAGCTTTAGACCTTTCAGTTATTAATTGTAAATAGACGAAGCGAAAACCCCTTTAAGTTGTAAATGTAAATCGCAACTGCAGGTCTAGAGGAGATCCTTTTTAGCTTTAGAATTTTGAGATAGACTGTGCGCGTACCTTCGATATTGTTTCTGTACTTATAGAATATTCAGACTACTTATACGATACACATGGGAAAAAAAATGATAACCCAGCGATTACGCAGGCATATACGATATGTGAACCCCGGTAGTACCAAATTCAACGGTAATTTTAGTTCTGTCTGGTACAGATTCCTTATATTTCAATAAAACCTTTACTTGAACTTTGCCCGCGTGCAGTATTTGTTTTTCATCCATTCGAATCTGTACGTATGTACGTTTTTATTTACTGAAACCACGAAACCTAACCTTTTTTTTTAAGTTTCAATTTGAGATACAACAAAATATCTACTACAATTTTAAAAAGCAAGTGGCGATCTCAACGGCAAAACGCTCAAGTTTGTAGAGAAATTGATAATTTACCAGTAGTTAACTATACCATTTTACTATTCTTAGATTTAATTTGAATTTTCTTTAAAATACTTCGGATAGATTGTATTGTCAAAATGATAAATCTAACTTATTACAATGTCTTACCGTTGTTCACGAATTATATCGGTACACGATACCCTATGAAACTGTACCTGTCGGTATATTTCAAATCCACCAGCAAAAATAGATAGATGTCGTTAGTATAGAATCAAGCAATGTGAATATATACCTAAATTGAACTGAAATACAATTTCAAATTAATATATTATGGTATTCTTACAAAATGTGCAAGAAAAAATTGATTTTAATTGTGTGTTATTCTAATAACAAGAAACCTGCAGTAACGATTCTTATGTGAAGATTCATCGGCAACAGGTATTTCTCTCAGCACAGTTGCATGAATGCCACCTGAAGTTCGTTCAAGTGTTTAGATACAAGCAACAAGCCATGTGGTCGGCGTTTGGTTTGGTTATTTAAAATAACCTTTATAACACGTGTTATTATCAAAGTATTATTTTTTTACGGTGAATTTGTACGTTCTAGTGTTATTAATGCATGGGGTATATTATCCCAAGCGTAATTATAAAATATACCAGTTCTTTACGAGTCGAGCAACAAAATGCAGATGAAATTAAGTGCGCGGCGTTCGGCTGCAGGTATCGATGTTATAGAAGTAGACGATTTAGTTCTAACGAGAAAAGGCGGAGGTAGTATAATTGATCAACGACCACTCTTCTCTCACGATGGAGAGTAAGTATTAATTTAATATATACGAAACAGCGAAGACAGCTCTTTCCAACTTGTTACATTCTTACAGAACATTGTATATCGTGTGGAAACACGTTATAAGGGCTTACAGCACGCAAACTGGAGACTTTGTAAGAGAATTAGAACCAGCAAATCATCGAATAGCAGGATTAATCGTACATCCTGAGAATCCCAACATTGTCATTGCTTGTACAGAGAATGGGGAACTGAATTTTTGGAGTTGTCAAAGTGGCATTATCACTAAAAAATTAGTATGATGAATTTTCTCTAAAAGTATAAAATTACATATTTGTTCAAAGTAGCATTAATATTCTACATAAATTTGTCATTGTTTTTGTTCTTCCTATAGAAATTAAAATTTCAAGAAGATCCTAAAGTAAAAACATTTCATATTGTTAATTATAAGACACATAAAGGAAATGAGCTACGCCAAGTGCTTATAACTTATATTTCTAAATGTTGTACAAAAATCTATGTAGCATTATTTGATCTAGACACTGGAGTCTGCACAAAATCCACGTGTATATTGTAAGTAAAACATTTCAAAATTCTTTGCTAACAAAATAATAACAAAAAATGTTTACTTTAAATGATGTTTATTATTATTTATTAATACAGAATCGATTCTCATGAATATTATGTTGATATAATTGGAAATCATGGAGATAATTTAATAGCTGTTCTTCATGACCTAGACTTACATATATTAAATCCAGCAAGGAATCTTATCGATAAACAGTATGTAGTATTATGTACTTATAAGTAAAAGCAATAAAATTCAATCAAAAGTACTTACATATTATTTAATTCTATAATCAAAGACACAAAACTGGAAAAACGGGTAGGATACCAACATGTATTGCTGGACACCCAGAAGAAGAATGCGTCGCCACAGGAGATTCAACTGGTCGTGTAGTAGTGTGGAAGAGTTTGTTTCAAACAAGACCTTATACAGGAGTCTATCATTGGCACACATTACCAGTGACAGAAATAGCATTTAGTAAATCAGGTAGAATATAGAAATTTTAATAATTGTTTAGGCTTTGACATAACAATGTATTTAAAAGTTATTGTGGCAATTTTGTACAAATTACAGGTGGACATATGTATACTGGTGGAGGAGAGTGTGTACTAGTAAAATGGGTTTTAGCTAATCCACAGCAAAAATCATTTCTTCCTCGGTTACCAGCACCCATTAAACACCTGACTATTGCTCCAGATAATTTATATGTTGCTGTTTCTACTTTAGATAATGGTAATTGCGTTGTTCGGTAATCGTTATAATAATGCCTTGGCTTCTGTCGTATAATTTATACTAACGATGCTTTACACTTAACCAAAATTGTAGGTATTGTAGTTGTAAATCCGCAAAAAAAGTTGACGTCCGTAATACAAAATTTCACATGGGGTGTAGCTTTATCTTCTCAGGAATTATTTCCTGCTGGTCTTGTCGTCGATCCACGTACAAATTGTCTTGTTTTGAATAGCCGTACCGGACACGTTCAGTTTTATAATACCCATACAAAAAGTTTATTGTACAATGTGAGTACTAATGCAAGGTGCAAAGCATTATACAACCAATTACTTAATGTTAATTTAAATGTCGTTAAAATTTTAGGTAAATATTACAGCACAGAATTTTTTAACCCAAGAACGTAGTTTAATTATTGTAAACACAGAAGTTACAAAAATAGCTTTAAATCACGACGGCACGTGGATGGCAACTGTCGAGGAACGAAACGATAAATTATCTTGCGTAGAAGTAAGACTCAAGTTTTGGATGTTCGACGCTAAACAACAATTGTAAGTATGAAATGGAATTATTTTAAATTCAGTTATAAGAATTTTATGCCGATTTGGTAGGTTTACATTGAACACATCAATCGAACTACCTCACGAGGGGGGTATCAATGCTTTACATTTCCAACCGAGTACTCCGTTCGACGAAGAGGAAGCGTTAGCAATTACGACTGGTCGTGACAAAAAATTTAGATTGTGGCATCTTATCGAATCTTCATCGACGAATAGTATGTAGAAGTTATGTTCTTTCTTATTTCGTATATGATAAATGATTAAAACATTCTAAGATAATTTTTGTTCTAGAAAAAACAAAACATTGGCAGTGTCATAGTATAGGAGATTATAGAAATTTGTCTGTAACGGATGCTGGTTTCTCGATAGATGGTTCATTAGTTGGTATTGGTTTTGATTCTAGCGTGACGATGTGGACACCTGACACCTGCACGTTTAAATGTAGTCTTACGCATAGTCAATATCAATATCCAGTGACGTAAGTTCTACAAAAATAATAACGATAATGATTATATACGTAATATTAGCATTATAACCTATATTTTACTAGACGAATCGAATTTGGAAGACAAGAAGCTTGTCACCTCGTAGTAGCCGCTTCCACACAACATATCGCTGTGTGGAATATTTTATCCCTTACGTTAGTATGGAGTGTGCCTTTGAAAGTTGCGACTCTTGCAGCCGATTCAAAATCCACCTACATGGCCGTTTTTACAACCGATAATTCCCGTAAGCTTATTCTCTTGGAAGGTACATCGAATGTTGCTATCTTACGCATATGAATCTACTTGTTTATTTCAGTGTTTGTATTCACACCGCAAAAACCATCTCCCGTTTACACGAGACCAAGTGTTATCGAGAATAATTGTTCCATCTTGGGAGCTACTTTCGTGCCTCATCTACAAGAGAAGCGAGATTCGTCACATAGGCACTGGCAACGGAAATCACAACTTTTCTTTTTGGATTCTAATCAAGTACGTAACGCGATAAGCAACTATATCACTGCCTCATACTTTGAAAAACGTCTGAGTCGCTTAATGTTAACCTACCTGTTTTATGCATAGGAATTGTTAACATTAGAACCAGAATCCGAAGTAACAATTTCTCTCGAAACTCTATCCACGAGTGCCACGGTACCCAGTACGGCTTTCGGAAGTATGATAGCAGCGAAAACTACGTCCAGCAAGGAAACGGCGACTCCGTTCGTGCACGAACAATTAGGCGTATCGGGAAAGGGAATGGTCGAAGAAGTAAGTGTTCTAAGTACATGTCATACAAATTTTTTTTTCCATAATGCGTAAGGTATAACGAAAGATGTCAGAGTCCAACAGGTAAGTTAAATCCATTTTAAAATACATCTGCGATAAAAATAATTTTATTCTAGAACACATTCTCATCCTATAATGAGATCAAAGCGTATTTATATGTACAGTTTTCCACGTACATAAAAGTAAATAAAAGTAGAAATAACATTAATAACTTACTAAAAAGGGCAAGTTTGACCGATTATTCTGGTTATAAATGGTTATAAACAAAAAAAAAACTGAATAAGCTTTCTTATTATTTCATCTGCTTCGTCTATTTCATCTTCACGATACGGAAACTGACCATGAACATTAGAGTCTTACAAGTACAGTCTTGAACTAATTAATGCACCATGAAATATTATATTAAGAGGACTTATGGAAATTGTATTGCTTCGTTTATCGGCTAGGTGTGGTTTTACATTATCTCAAAGTATTTAAACAAGTTTACTATACGAGGTTAGATCTCGACGCGTTAAATAAATTTGAACATATGCAGTAGAACGTTCAGAATAGGTGGTCTATAGAACTTGAAGTAAAGGGATTTGTTGATAGTCGTCCATCCAGGATTTCGGTGATTTTGTATTCGTCAGTGTTTCCTTCCCAAACGGTAATTCCGACAGCGGCGCACGAGATCGAATTTTCTGTAGCGCAGACAATGCCATTGCGGGATCTGCCTCATGTTTTCGATCGCCTGCAAGTTATACATCTGTACAAAAATAATTGACGAGCGTTTAATACTTCATCACCTCCTTTGACTTCGAAGTCCCATGTACCTATATTTTCAAAGACGAGTAACCCTCGCGTCTTCCGAGTAAAAAAAAAGTTTTCCCCAAGGATTATATGTTAATTCTAAATCAAGCTACTAATTCATTAATTCCATTTGAAGAATAGTTTAGGTCATAGAGGGTTAACAAAACTCAAAGACCGATCGTCGAAAATAGACATAATTATCATTCCTAAGCTAATTATAGTTGAAAATATCTTAAAGTGACTCTCGCGAGTGGCTTTCTGTTTACAATATCATTGTAACACCTACAGTTCAGTTCGATTAGATATACCAGTGCAAGTGGAGGAAAGAATTTACACACAAAGTCCATTTATGCTTGTATGTTATCATATACGTCCCACGTGTCCGCGACGAGGAAAAATCAGTCTTATTTATACTTATTGATTCCGAGGATGCGCTGTTGCAACGGTTAAAGGTTCCTCGCCGATTCGCAAAAATGTTTTACAATGGCCAGACGAATTGCAACACGATTTCTGTATTTAGTCTCGAGTTTTACTTAACAACTGTTCTGTAAACAAATCTCTATCTGTTGTAACTTGAATATCAATGACCGAATTATGTCATCTCAAACAAAACTTGCGCAATCTTAACGATAACATTTCGTGAACGCTGGAGTAGCGTAATTTGTTATGATCGTCGTTTTTAGAGAGCGATCGAAATCAGTCCCCGTGGTCAGCGAACCGTGTTAATTTCATAGAACATTGTTACTTTTTTTTTTTTTTTTTCTTTAACAACACATCTCGATTTCAAGTTTTCTGGGTAGCAAGATATTGTCATGGTGACTCACTTTGCCCGTCTTTCTAGGCTCGTCGATCTTCTTACTGTCAGACAGTTTCTTGTTCGTTACAAAGAACGGAAGTTTACGAGTCAAAGACCTCAAGTTACAGTCTGTCTACTCATTTACTTTCAACACGTAGCTAAGTTTGATGGACGGAGAAGGAGATAGCGTTACTCATAGGATCAAACTCTAAAATCTTCGCTACCGAAGTGAATCCGAACGCGATGGAACGTCTGAACTGACCGAAGAAAATACGAGAAAAGAGGTACTCACCATTTCTGGATTGCTGGCAGGGTATCCAGAAGTAATAGCCCCCAAAAAGAAGATAGCCACCAAGATGCACGACACAAAACTCCACGCTGTAAACTTCATTCCCAAAACTCTCTTCAACAAACGTAGGAAGGCTTCCGATTGATATACACTTCAAGAACAGAGAGTCACCTCTTTCTTCCAATGTTTCCTTAAATAAGAAATCGTAAGAATTAACACCAGCCGAGGAACGTCCAGAAATTGTATCAATGAACAATTCTCGGAAGACTTTTGTAGGTGGAATACGATGTTCTTTAGTTGCAAATATTCCATTTACTTTATTTTTATTCAAATGCGATGAAAACGTTAGCTGGTAGACTGTGAAGCAACGTTCGCTAGGATTCCCTCGAGGAGCGACGAAGAGTGAGTTCTTGCTTGATGGACCACCCGGTGAGAAGCCGAGGGGGAAGAGTTCCTTGCGTGCTCGAACGCTCGACGTAGGACTGACTTTGGGAAGTGGCCTCGCCATGATTTAATATAGGAGCTGCTTCACCGCACTCCCACCCTCTCACGGCGTTCCAGTTGTCCCTCTGACCTAGGGTATTGTCTTTGTTGGAGAACCTTCGACACGCGTCATTCAAGGAATTATTTTCATCGTCGCTGATGTTTTACGTGCAATGTGACGTCGCTTCTGAATCAAACGTAAAAAAATCACGATTCCTATGATCGCCATTAGCATTACAGGCATGCCGCCCAACTGCTGTACGTACAAGAGATCTCCGGTTGTCTTCTAAGGGATATTCATTTTTTCTTTTTTCGGGTTAAAAGTGGGTAGTACTCGAGTACAAGCTATCTAAAATATTAGTTTGAAACTTTGCACCGTCGTTGGTACACATCTTAACAAATTACATAATTTTTTTTATAGATAAGTATATAATAATTTTGGAGATACAAGCTGCTTGCGCAATCATTGTAAGAATTCTATCGAAAGAAGTCATAAATATTGCCCATTTTTTTACTCAAAGTACGAGGGATATCTACTCTGAATAAAAAGAAAAACTTAATTAAAGCAGTTTGTTACTACTTCAGAGTGATAAGGGTCTCGTGATTATTCGAAGAGCTAAATTCTAGAAATAGAATCTTCGACTCTTTCACGAGTACACGTGGGAGATTGCGATATCGTAGCGGTCGTTGCAAATGTTCCCGAGAACAATAAGATCGGTTCCGCAGTGAAGCTTCGAAATTTCGACGTTCGGTGCAAAATCAATATCGAGTTCCCATGGAAGTTGTTATCGCGGGAGCATGCAACAAGTACACGCTTGCCTGGACTTTGCGAGCATTGTGAATGCTCGAATTACAGCGATAACATCAGCTCCTCTGAAAGTTAAATCTCGTCCCATTTGGAGACTTGCCTTAGTCTGGAGGCTAAGCAAATTAAGGATCATCACCAGGGGCGGTCCTTAAGGCCGCAAGATCGCTAACGATAGTATCGCGAAGAACGTGGACGCAACGTCTAATTAATTATAAACGATTGCGCGCGTTATATCTATACGTCGTCTTCTATTGTCTCTAATCATAGTCGGTATTGAAATTTTAAATAACTAAAGGTGTAATTATTTTACGAAGATGGTCCCGTAGAAGGTTCTTAAATCATCATTTTATTAATTTTTGGTTTTCTTAAAGCTTTTTTGGCACCATCCGAGAATAGAGCGTGTTTTTCTTCTTGTTAAGAGATCTTTTAAGGTGTCTCGATGACGTCATAATGTTAAACGCCACGCCATGTAATTAATTACGCGCGTCTACGTTGTTACTGACGGTAAACGGATATCCGCTAACTCGTTGCTTTCGTTCTTACTTTACTAATTGCGTCAGGTCTATGGAATTATCAAGACTTTGTTTGTCATCTCGTCACATTTTTCAGAAGAATCGTCGCAAAGACGAGCGTATTCTTCCTCGTTATTAACGCTCAGCTACATTGAAATTGTAACTAATTCACTGTAATCTTTCCCCCGATCCCCGGTTCCTATAAATATGGCAGAATGTGTGCCAGACGAAGGTAAGTTTCAATTTTAATTAAGTTTTCGATACTTGGCGAAGATTAACAAGCAGCGACGAAGTTCCGCTGGCTCACGAAGAATCAAACTTTCGATGGAGCGTTCCTTTATTCAGTCTCGTTACCGTGTACAATGGAGAACGTGGTTTTCAACTACGGAATTGTTTGCAAACGTTCGGGTAAAACCAGGTCAGGATGTACCTGTTGGCAAGCCAGGAACAAAGTCTTATCTCTCTCGGGAGCTGTCCTGATTGTTACGTTACCTATTAATAAAATGGTATTCTCCGCGTTAGGGCGAACACGTTGTATCTATCGATAGATTGTTCGAAACTAGTTAGTTTTTATTGCACGTTACGTATTCATCCCGTGATATTCGGTGAGACATAGTCTAGATTCTAGACTCTAGAACATAACTATAGCGTAACCGTTTAAACGAAAACTGAGAAAGATGCGTGAGTCAAGCACGTACGGATCTTTCTCGGTGATATCTCTTCTTATTTTCTTAACGTGCGCCGCTTGGATGAAACATGCGTATTTCTCGCGACTTTCTGGCGAAAACTGGTGTATACTGCGACAAAGATTCGCGTAGGCTGCGAGAGACGCGTCAACCTAGATCTGAAGTAGAAGATTACAGGAATTGCAGAAATTTTCGTTCGGGGGTGGGCTCTGCGTCAGCCTTAAAACTAATTAACTAATCGGCTGTCGCGAGCGTTACGAGTGTGACTGAACTGGATGGACGCACGTTGAATTTGTCGTGCATCTCTTTCGAACAGGAATACTTTCGTATCAATTTCTTTTCTCGATGAATAAAAAAAAAAAATATTTATTAAAAATATTCGAGTTCTTGGAACGGCGTGAACGAACACTAATAACGTGTTTCAGCTCCTCAGCGTCTCAGCCCACACTTTGCCGCATATGAAAATGCTTTGTACATCGTTCATTAACTCTTTATTGATGTCATCGACATCGAAAGCTCAGTCAGCGGATGACAAGAACGACAGGTACGTTAACAAAGGAAGAAGTTCTTTTAATTTCATTGACACTAACACGCTTGTTTTTCTTTTTCTTTTTCTCTTTTTTAGGGATGATAGGATGAATAACATAGGAGAATCGACAGACGACAGCGACGATGAGTTCATACGACCAGAGAAATCTGTATCGTCACCTGTCGTTGAAAACAATATTGCAGATGAAACAAAAGTAACGGTCGTCGACCGTAATTGGTCTTTCCTAGCGACCATACTTCCAGACCAAGAAACCATCAATGATTAATTATAAAAAAAAAATAGATAATATTATTTTTCCCCGATTAAGCCTCTGACAATTAGAGTTAATCTTATCGCACCTTTCAAATATTTATATGAAAATGTAATATTCAATGAAAGTTCGTCCAATAGAATTGAATTTTTTTAACTCGTGCAACTCTAATTGTCAGCGGCTCAATTGTCTACAAAAGGAAATAAAGAATCATGAAAACCCTTTGTATATTATTTATTACATGTTATGTGAGAAATATAATGTTTACATTTACATATAAATATTGTACGTACACAACATTGTCGTGCAATGATATTTTAGAATAAGCACGATCGCGTCTCGTTCACATCAGTGTTCAAACTCAGGCTAAACAAACTTGTCGAACTTTACGTTGGCTTTGGCAAATCTTCAAATCGAAAACTATACTCGACCAGTTCGTTAATAGTCTCTGTCATTCTCTTCTTGAAGACAGGGTCATTTTTCATGGCATCGATTACTATATCGTTTCTGTTTTTAAAGATATATTCGTTGAAGGTATCAAACTCGTTCATAATCTGATCACCCAAGTTCTCATCCAGCAACACAGTCTGGTAATATATAGCTGCAGTGATCACAGCACCTAAACGCTGTTCTTCCATTCCCTGTACTAACTCCGACCAGGGCGGAACCTCTACGGAGGTTGATCTCATTGAATACAAAGTTTCGCGCAGAACACTGTAATAATGCTTTAACATTGCCTCCTCCGAGGTTTCTCTGAAACTTCGATCGGCGCAAAGATACAAGAATTGTGCCACGTCGTTCGCCAAGGGCGAGTACCTCACCAACTGAAAGTCAACCAGCAAACATTTTGGAGGTACATCGTCATTGAACATGAGATTGTTTCCCCATAAGTCTCCGTGACTGACCACGTTCTTTTTCGTAGATGACGTTTCGATGGCTGGATATATTTCTTCGCAGACCTTTGGTATTAAGGTACCGTCGAGACCGAGGTACTCTGCAACAGCAACATTAGCATTGATACCAACTTCGAACCACGTTCGAAGCTTCCCAGTTCGCGGGAAACAAGTCTCCGCGAAAGCATCGGGATACATTTCCTTGAAAGTCTTTCCAAGACGCGCTTCCGCCGCAAGAGAAGACGCGTGTAGTCGCGCGATACTCGTTAGACCAGAGACGATTAGTTCCTTAGTGAACAATTTGTTCCTCGTCCTGTAACCCTTAGCGCTTAAATCTTCGAAAACCAGCAAATGTTCCTTGACCAAATGACACGTTGCAGCCCACGGCTCGACTTTGTATTCACGGTAAAGTTTGGGAAGTATGTCACGATAGAATGCTCTTTCCTTGGGAAAGACACATTTGTCGATCACATACTCGGCGTGAAACGGTACGCTGTACGGTATAAATTTGACGAAGAACGACAACGTTTCTTTTCCATTTTTGGTTTCAATTTCCACGAGGAGCCGTTGGTGAGATCCTTGAAATCCTAGCTTTCCATCCGAGAACGGTTGCAATGAAAACTTGTGCACTTTTGCTTCGTTACTTAGCGAATGTTTTACCATGTTTTGGACATCTTGAAGAGTCACCAGATTGTGATAGACGCTTACACGGGAGCACGTTTTGCTCTCCAATTGTTCCGGTACAGATCGAACTTCTAGCTCCGACTTCGACATGGTTAAGGAAATACACATCGCAGCACACGATCATCTTTATATAAGTATCAAGCGAGAGACCGCTCCTTTAAATATTTGCTTCTTTTGATGACAGAGTATTTACCGAGAAACATTTTCAAGATAAAGGTATTGCAGCGAGAAGAAATCGTACACCAAAGGATTTCCTTTGCTGATTTATAGCATTTACATTGCATACATAAACCGGTACAGTAGTTCGAGTATCGTTGAAATGGTTCAAAACATATGCGTGGAGTAAATCAATCTTTGACTACGTGTTTTAATACCCAACTTCTTGTTGTCGCGTCCCGGCGAATAGATAATCGGTATAGTATTTCAAAGATACTTAAAGTACTTGCGCTCATGAAAAAACAAAATTCCTCTTCCAACCAAAACTAGAGATAGCGTGTGCAATTTTAACGTGGTATCTACGATAAAATCAGAGTACTGAATATAGTCTATTCGCGGGGAAACGTTTAGAAATCGTGCAGAGACAAGTGTTCTTAAAACGAGGGATGGTATTTTAAAAAGGGTTCGATTACCGAAAAACACTGCTGTATAATGCTAGATAAAATAGACATTTGTTAAACATGCCATTGAATCTATATCGTGCCTTTCATCCGTAACATTTAGTATTGACGACATTTCTAAAATGAAGCCGCAAATAAAAATGACCCGATGTCTCGTACTTGAGACATTCCTATCGACTTCTAGATGTATAACGTAGCGTCACGATATACATAAATCTTACACATTCGTACCAAATAGATTTGAAACCATCGCCATTCAACAGACATTGTTCATCCACAACTGATTGGGAGGCAGTCTACGTCTCGTTATCGATTATGCATAGCGTTTCGCTTGGACAACGATTGTCCCGCGCAACAGGTACTTCGGTTAAAGAAAAAGGGAGTTCCTCTAACTTGATCAAACGTTGAAATTCCTATTTTATTTCAGAGTAAAAGTTATAGATTGGTGAACTCAACTATATTCTTCTCTTTCGGGATGACACGATAAATAATTATTATTTTTCCATATAGACCATCCATTCAAAAATCTTTATTAATATATTTATGAATACAAATACAAGGAAAGGTAGTGTTTAAAAAACGTTTACATTTCTATAGAAATATTCTACGCACATAACAACATTCTAGAACGGCAAATTATTTCTCGGCAATAAAAGCGCTGTCGGTACTTGCAAACATCACGTTGGTTTCGGTAACTCTTCGAATCGAAAACTAAGCTCTACCAATTCGGCAACGGATTCACTTATTCTTTTATTGTACGCGGCATCATTTTTCATGGCCTCGATTACTATATTGTCTCTGTTTTTAAAGACGTATTCGTTGTAACTGTCAGGCTTGTTCATGATCCGGGCGCCCAAGTCCTCATCCAGCAACACAGTTTGGTAATACGCAGCTGCAGTGATCGCAGCACCTAATCGTTGTTCTTCCATCCCTTGAACTAACTCCGACCACGGCGGAAGCTCTACAGAGGTTGATTTCATTGAATTCAAGGTTTCACACAAAACACTGTAATAATGCTTCAACATAGTCTCTTCCGAAGTTTCTCTAAAACTGCGGTCGGTGCAGAGATACAGAAGCTGTGCGACGTCGTGCGCCAAGGGCGAGTACCTCACCAACTGAAAGTCAACCAGCAAACATTTTGGAGGTACATCGTCATTGAACATGAGATTGTTTCCCCATAAGTCTCCGTGACTGATCACGTTCCTCTTTGTAGATGACATTTCCATGGCTCGGTATACTTGGTCGCAGGCCTTCGGTATTAAGCTACCATCCAGACCAAGATGTTCAGCAACGGCAACCATGGCATTGACGCCGACGTCGAACCATACACGAGTCCTGCCAGTTTCGCAGAAAGCGTTGCTTATAAAAGCATCGGGATACATCTCAATAAAAGTCGTTCCAAGACGCGCTTCTGCCGCGAGAGACGACGCGTGCAGTCTTGCGATACTCGTTAGGCCAGAGACCACGAGTTCCTTGGTAAACAATTTGTTCCTCGTCCTGAAACCCTTAGCCCCTAAATCTTCGAACACTAGTAAATGTTCCTTGATCAAGTGACACGTTGCAGTCCATGGTTGGTCGTTGTATTCGCGATAAAGTTTAGGAAGTATGTCACGATAGAATGCCATTTCCTTTGGGAAAACAGATTTCTCGAGCACGTATTCAGCGTGGATCGGTACATCGTGAGGTACACCTTTCACGAAGAAAGACAACGTTTCTTTTCCATTTCTGCTTTCAATTTCTACGCTTAGCCGTTGGTGCGTTCCTAAAAATCCGATCTGTCCATCCGCGTACGGTTGCAACGAAAACTTGTGTACCTTTGCGTCGCTTCCTAGCGAATGTTTTACCATGTGTTGGACTTCTTGAAGAGTCAGCGAGTTGCGATAGACGCTTCCACGAGAGCGCGTTTTGCTTTCAATTTGTTCCGGTACAGTGCGAACTTCCATCTCCGACTTGAACATGGTTAGAGAAATAAACGTCATAGCTCACGGACATCTTTATATAAGTGTCAGGCAAGAGTGTTACTCTATGTATCTACTTCCTTTGCTGACAGTTTATTTGCCGACAAACAATTTCGAGATAAAGCTGTTGCAGCGCGAAGAAGTCGTTTAAGGAAGTCACGTGCTTTATTGAATACCTGCAAAAGCTTATTAGCGTTTCCCTTGGTGATTTATAATATTTACGTTGCATAAATAAACCGGTGCAGTAGTCTAAATATCATTGGAAAGTTTCAAAACATATGCGTGCAGTAAATCAATCTTTGACTACGTTTTTTGACACCAACATCCGACTGGCGTGGTTTTACGTTATCTCGTCTCGGCGTATAAATAACAAGTACGGAATCTCGAAAATGCTTAAAATACTCATGCCCATGAAGAGACCTAACGCACTTCCGACTGAAACTAGAGACAATGGTAACAATTAGAACGTGGCATCTATGGAAAAGTTACGGCACACAGATTGGAATGACTTTACCCGTAACGTCCAAGAGATCGTTGGCTACGTATCGACGATATCTCTTGGTTGGCTTCGATAATAGTTTAAAGTGCACGCGCGAGTACGCTAGACCCTCTTCCATGGTCTCAGCTTCTTCCCATCGGTTTCTGCAGCAAGTTTTATGTGTACATACACGGTCTGTCTAAAAAGGAACCGAACACGTGTGTGTAAAAATTTTACTTGTACTTTTTTTTCTTTTTATAGCAAAAGTTCGGTTTCTTTTTAGACAGACCGTGTATAACGTCGTCTGTTTTAATCTTCAAAATGATCGAGCATAAAGACTCTTAAATAACATTCGCATGATTCGTACGTACATAAGCAGCGATGTTCCATCGCAGTTCTGCAGACATCGTTCGTGCATCTCTTGCGAGAGGATGTTCGGCTTATTTTCGATTATGCATTGCATTTCGGTTCCGTTACACACTCGTGCACCGCGCGGTACGGAATAATAAAAGTGCACGCAGCCGCAAAGTTGTATCATTCGCTCTATGACTACCTGACGGGTGATACAGTGAATCATGGTTGGTAGAAACGCGGAGCATATTGTTTGCGTTAAATTAAATTCAAGACGCACCTCTAGATTACACGAGTCGCTACTGTAAATCTCAAACATACTGTTTTCTTGCGTCTCCTCCGAGAACCGACAATTTCGACGTTGGATCGCGACTGCCCTTACACCGTCCTCGTTGAACGTGTCGAACATCGTGAAGTCAAAGCGGGCCACTTTGCCGACTTTCACAAGCATCCCTTTATTTTCTGTGTTACTACTTGTTGGTAGCCCTAAATTGGGGAACACGTGAATCTGAAACATTCGATGATGTTTGAAACAGATTGTACTTTAATTTATTCAAATTAATTCTACGAGTGTACAGTCATATTTTCGTTGGCGTTAAAAATTGAATTCATTCGATCTGAAAAATGAAAGAAGAATTGATACGAACCGAGAAAACTCTCGTTATAGACTTCGACATTGACTTTATATTAATGGTAAGATCGCCATTTTGTACTGTACGATTGACGAAGAATCGTACGCCCGGTTCACCAACTTTACTCAGATGAAACGTATTCATGGCGATGCAATGACCGACACCAGATTTTCTTAATTCGTGAAATTCGTTGCAGCAATTGAACGTCATTCTGTTCCATTCGCAGTAGTCCAACAATTCTGTACAGGGAATTCTCATCTGCGGTAAGTAATTGGACATGCATAATTTTATAGAAATAAGAATAACGATAATATAAATATAAGGACGCGCGAGATACGATCTTTGACCTCATCGTAAGCGGACAACAGTTCCTCCGTCGTTGCAGAGAGTAACTTTCGATTGCTGTAATTTGAAAGTAGTCCAACATCCCTGAATAGAATTTTACAAACGTTTCGTCTTAGTATCTATGCATAGATTACCATGAAATATTGTAATATATTACGCACTTTTTGAAATAATTGTTTGTAATTGTTTTTGCATTGGCAATGCAAAAAACAACTGCGGGAAACGGTGTCTTCCAATCGACGTACATGGTCTCGACGGTTACAGCGACAGGATATTCGATGTATTTTATAATTACGTCTCTAATCATTAATGCGCAACCGTACCAACACAACACGCAGGATATCAGCCAAAAGAATCTGAAAATTGCCAAACCACCTCGAAGTATACCCAGACAAATATTTGCTTCTTCCATTTTCTTCTTCCTTTGCTATATGTAATTTTTACCTTTCCAAATACGAAAGCTGGCCATCTACGAGATACCTAACGCCGTGGATGCTGCAGTTCATTAAGTAGTGCTTAATAATTTTCCACCACCAAATCAGTCGCTTCGACATTATTCCTTTTTACTTAGTAAATGTATCGTTCAACACACTATCGCGTGGACGGACAATGAAAGATTTATCCAAACTGACTTCGTAACCGTAGGGAAATCAATTCCCTGCGGTGTACGTTACTTCATAAATTATACAGCAATTGATTTAATCTTCCACTTGCTGGCATAATAATGATTTGTCGGTTGATACTAAATGATAGCTCCACGAAGGTACATTAATCGATACTGAATCCTTTGGATAATGATTTAAGAACAAACAATTATGCATTTAAGAAAAATAAAGAATAATTAATTAAAAGGTATCAGTGTTGCCACTGGCACAAAAATTAGTATTAACATAATTGAGTGGTTTAGTGCCAGTTTTGCATTCCAATGTTTTACACAAACCTGCGAGAAATATTGTTAATTCTCATTGATCGTTCAATTTTGTTGTTGTTAAAAAACATTGAATTTCGCGCCAAACTACGGTATCGCCATCTCGCGGTGAGAAGGTCGAACTAAAATTTGTTGTTTGTTTGGCGTTTATTAAAAAAAAAAAATAATAATACATATATACAGACTTTACTATACTGGAATAGGATTTTACCTATTTTTACTCCTAGATGGCGCTATTAACAGTGTTATTTACCGACATGGTGGTAATGTACCGACAGGTCGGTAAAAAAGAATACTGTAAATGGCGCCATCTACCAGTAAAAAGACGAACTATTTTACGACAAACTTGAGCATTTTCCCGATAGAGGCACTGATCAAACTCCGAAAATTAGTTCGATCTTTTCAACGCTAGATGGCAACGACCATGACAACTGGTGGCGCCATCCGTGGAAAAACGCCCAAGTTTTTAGTGAAAATTCAAGGACAAACTTGAACGTTTTCCCACCGATGGCGCCACAAATTTGTTTCGATGCACCCGCACATGTAGGTAGATAATCTAATAACGCCAGAAAACTGGTTGGATTTTGGAAAACTCGTGCATATTTCAATTAATATTTATTGACACTGAATGGTTTTAATACATTAACATTTTCTGCCAATTTTCCGTTTCACCTACAAAGACAATATGGTCAGATACTTTTTTAGGTTTTCTTACCTCGGTACGCAATACAGGTACAGTAAAAAAATATACACGTACCTTCATTAATTCTATATTAACTACTTTTGACTTTAGGGGACTGCAAAAAAATGTATTCCGAACTGACCGTAATCTACAAGACCCAGATACTATTCAAGGAGCTTTAGAATGTGCTTTTGCATCATTACTTCCAAAGTATACATTTTGGCCCAAAATAACTCTTTCTAGCAGGTGAATCACTTTTAATTCAAATTGACTGTTTATATACATTACTTAGTCAGATCTTAAAATACTTAGATTTCCACAATACTTTTAGAATGTATTTTTATAAATTATAGGACAGATTCTGGTGTACATGCTTTATGTAGTGCAGCTCATATTGACTTGGAAAACAAGAACAATGTTATATATATGTCTGATGATGTACTCAGATTTGTAAATCGTTACTTGCTTAACTGTAATCATGATATTAGGTAATTCATGGTTTGACATTATATCTTTTGGTCTTTACTAATTTCTAATAAATTAATATGTTGCTTTAAGACTTTTGGACTTTACTCCTGTGACAAGCAACTTTCATGCAAGACGTTTTGCAAAATCTAGAACTTATATTTATAGACTTGTGGTAGCCAAGGATTATAATGATCACAGAATTCCTATAACAGAGAAGCTGTATTCCTGTACCATTAGGTACTACTTAAATTTTTATTGGAAATATACTTATTTTATTGTAAGCGATATTTTACATTTTTATACATATACATTTCATTAGATCAGAAGATTTTGATATAGAAAGATTAAAACATGGAATGCAACTTTTCATTGGAAAAAAAGATTTCCAAACATTCAGTGCACGAAAACATACTGACAGACCAATCAATTATGTACGGGTCATAGACAAATTAACCATAGAGAAAGGTCAACCATTTATGCCACTGGACCCTTTCTCACAAAATTTTGAGTATTGGAATATTATATTTAGATCAAAAGGATTCTTATATCGCCAGGTATGTAATAAAAATAGTCATGCTAATCACATATATTGTCACCAAATTAATTTATTACAGGTTAGACGAATAGTAGGTTCTTTAATTAGCTTAGGTCTAGGAGTGATAACAGAAAAAGACATAGTTACTATGTTACAAGTACCTGGCCATCACAATTGGCCTTCTCATTTACAGTCAGCTCCACCATATGGTCTATTCCTTGCTAATGTGGAGTACTGTCAAGAAGATATAGAAACACATACCATAAAAGTTGAGGAAAAGTCTGTCGATAGTAAAATAGTAGTGTCAGCTATATAATTGAAAAAGTGTACTGTATATTTAAAAATAGAAGTTATTCATTTAACAATGAATTTGGAAAAGTTAATAAAGACTAAAAAATTACATTTAAGATCTTGTACAACTATTATAACAGACTCGCTCGGTCAAAGATACGAAGAAGCTAATGGAGAAAAGAAAGAATTACCTCCCGGGACACCGTTTGTTATAGATGACAAACCCGATTTACAGATTGCATGTATATTACCAGGACTATTTCTAAGTTCACAAGACCCCGTTACAGATATAAACATTTTACGGCAACATAAAATTCGTAATATTCTAAGTATTGGTATCGAAGCGGCGGTCAAGTTTGATAACATCAGGTATTACTATTGCGATTTGTTAGATTTACCAGAGTCCGATATATCTGTGTCAATAGAAAAATGTATTAAGATCATAGACAAAAATCGCTGTGAAAATATTCTCGTACACTGCAATGCTGGTGTATCTCGCTCACCGACAATTGTTATTTCTTACCTAATGCTTTCTAAAAAGTTATCGTACGATAATGCATACGGCGAAGTGAAAAAAATAAGACATTGCATTAAACCAAACGAAGGATTTGTAAGACAATTAAAAATGTTAGAACTACCGCATATACGTGATAAGTATGAACTAAAATAAAAATATGAAAAAAAAAAAACTTATCATTAGAATAACACTAGAAAAATAAAAAATAACCCAAACAATACATAAGGAGGAAGAAATTCATTGCTTTAACAATAGATTAATTATGTATATATTGTTACAATCGAATTCATGTATTATGACATTATGTGTACAGAGAATATTATTTTGTAATTACAGTATTTCGTATTTATAATTCATTAGAAAAGGTACATTCATGCACAGCATCTATTAAATTCTTAGCCAAAACTAAGCATATTACGACCGCTATTTCTGGCGTTCTTGTATAAATCATGCATTGGAGATGACATGTAGGTCGTCGTACCAAGTAGTTTTATAAAAATTACTGTAAATCTAAAAAATATAAGTGAATTTCTGTATACATGATCTATTATTTTATTTTCGTGATAGTAGTAATATTATTGTACCTGTAGTACAATGTCTATCATATATCGATTATATATATTTATAGTAATATAATTATTATCATTATTTATATACGTGTATACATACATATATTTATATATATAATTATATTTATATATAATCTAATATTCACATTCCTCCAACAATTGAAATGAGCTGTCTCGAAGAAAATAGACAAGGCACTTGAACCGAATATCTTTTTCTTAGCTAGTTGGCCTCATAAATAGTAGAATGCAAAAATTTGCACATCATAGAGCAAACAGTAAAATAGAAAGAATAAATAAAATCGGCTGTTCAAAGAAGATTACGCATAGCTTTTAAATTACAAATATTCATGATTCTTTCCCATTAATGACGCCAATGATCCTGTGTCTCGTCATTGATAACTGCATAAACGCAGTACAAAAATATCAAGGCCTTCTAAAGATTATGTTCCCCCAATGTGTATTCGTCGCTACTAAACGCTTCTGCTTTTCTTAAATCCAGTATTCAATAATATACATGACCGCTTAGTTTGTTGGCAGATTTGTCCGCTTTATAGAGCACTGGCAATTTCAGGAGTACAAAGCGACCTTATTATTATACTAGCTACTTAAAAAAGCAGGAAATTATATCTAGGAACGTTTTCCTTAGAAAGACCTTAAAGCTTCACGTTTCACAAAAGTTTTGTATAGACTCTAATATCGTGATGTGGTTCGAAATCGATTCCACTTAAGTCCAACACAACAAAAAAATGCAATTTATGTACAAAAAAATATAAATAAATTAACAAAATATTATGCCCGGTTAAACGGTTAGAACGTTTAGCCACGCAATCTATACGGTTAGAGACAATCTGAGAAATATATAATACACACAAAAATTAGTTCCTACGAAGCCACAGTCTTAAGTACAACATATCTGTACCTGAAAGGCATATCAGCAGAAATAAAACTCATGAAATTAGATGTTTCGTTACGAATGATAATCGTCCATCGTCTTGTGTCTGACTGTATGTATTTATCTATGTACGTATGTGTGTGTGTACCTAACATGGCAATAAACTTAAAATATCATGCGTTACTGTTACAGATACATAGGATATTGGTATATGAACTGTAAATATAAACACCATCGTCAAACGTTATGTAGTAAACCAGTATCAGAGTCCAATAGAGTGGCCAGGTCGTATGCAGCAACATCAGTAATGGAACAGGGAACCACCTAGCACTAATGTGTGTACCCTTTTGTATTGTTTGTCAGAGGAAAGTTATTATACGTTATTACCTTATACGTTTCATCGATTTTACTGAATTAAAAATTTTAACGTTTGACACCCCACGGACCATCTGGATTGGTCACAGGTACATGAGAGTACCCGGCGAATTGTGGAAATTCTTCGACACTGGCTGTGTTCGGGGCGCTTTGTTGTTGCTGTTCCCAAGGCCCCCCTTTCACGACGAAACCAGAATTTCCAGAATTTCTTTCATCACGTTGAGGTGAACGTAAACTTTCACGATATTCATTCTCCAAAACATCTTGAATCTAAAATTGAACGATGATTGAATAGCTTGGTAGAGCAGTTCCTTCTAAGCAGTAAAGAATATATTTACTTTATAATACTTACATATTCTTCAGCTAAATTCAATAAACGATCCTTTGCGTCAGCTACGTTATCCTCTGTACCCACGATCGTCACAATATTAGGGTCGGGATCAGTTTTTCTCGGGAATTTAATGTCGACTTTAAATTCATCCATTATTTTACGAATATTTCTACCTTTTGAACCAATTAAACGCGAATGTACAGCAGCATTTATATTCACTTCGTCTTTTGTTAAACCGTTCTAAATTATAATCAAAATGAAATGTTATTAATAATTGTGTTATTAGAAATTAAGATATGCATTCTCACAAACTAGGTAAACTTACTAATTCGTTAACAATTTTCATGATATCATCTCGCGCGCTGTAAGCATTTTTTTCATAGCCGGTGATTGTAATGATATGTTCTTCGGGATCACCTTTACGTGGAAAGTTAATCTGAACATCATGGTCGCTACGTATTTTATTAATCACGGCTCCCTTCCGTCCAATTATTTTTGGATGATACTCTGGTTCAACTTCGATCTACGATCAAACAAAATTAGTATTTAATTTCGTGCGCTTTGGTGGCGGTATTATTTTTCATAAAAATAATTTATAACAATAATAAATAATGTTACCTTCAATTCGAATGACTTCAGAGCTCTGTCTTGCCGTTCGGCTTCCAACGATTTACATTTATCGAGAATAGCTTGTTTTGCATTTTCGACGCATGAAGTCGTTCCAGAAATCTAATAGGAGAAGATACAATTATTCTTTGGTGTCGAAGTATATTAATTTAATGCAACTATACATACTTTAATGTAATCAAGTTTCTCTTCCGCCGGAGATAAGGTGATATGCACATCATATGTACTCATTAATTCTCGCACGTCGCGACCTTTTTGTCCTATTATAGAACGATGAAGATCGAACGGTACCTCTACCTGAAGTTGACATAATTCGTTTTTGTTTGATATTCGATTATAAAGTTAGTTAGTATTTCAAACTTTCGATAAAAAAAACTAACCTCTATTGTAATTGGTACAAGATCAAGCAACGCTTGTTTAGCTGCTGCAACGTTTTCCGGTTGTCCAGTAATGCGTATAATATCACAGGCAGGAATAGCTTCCGCAACTTCTCCATTCTCACCATTCATTTCTTCTGTAGCTCGGTGTTCATCTAAAATACATACATATTTATAAAAATCTTCTTATAGGTTATATGTCCATGAAATGAAGTGACTTGTACGAACCATATGTGTCACGATCTGGAAATTTAATTTGTACGTCATATTCGGACGTGATCATTTGCACTTTACGTCCTTTCGCACCCATGACTGTACGATGATGCTTTTGAGGTATTATGCATTCTTCGGTTACCATCGATTCCTACGTAATGCAATAAATACATGCAATTCGTAAGTACCTACCGAAATAACACGAATATAGATTTAAAAAGTTACCAATTCTTGCACGATTTCTCGCATTCGTTGTTTCGCTGCCTCTATACATTCGTGCGATCCCTTCAAAGTTACGCGGTCGCTATCTACGCCAGCTCTAGGGAAAGAAATTTGCACACCCCCGCACTCGTCAGCTATACGATGCAATACCCCACCCCTGCGGGCTACAAAATGTCTGTGGTGCTTTGGATCTATGCGGATTTCACCTTCGGTGATGTTGTCCTACAGGTTGAAAAAGCAAAAGCACTTAATTCACGTGGCCGATAAGATATATTTAAACAATTAAATGTAATAGAAATTCTTACGATTTCTTTGATTGTGGCTTCTAATTCAGCCTTAGCTTTATCAACAGCCTCTTTTCTTCCCATAATAGTAATCACTTCTTTATCTTGATCATCTTCGGTTGGAAATACGATACGTGCTCCAGTGGACTCCCTTATCTGAGAAAAATAAAATATGGTTGAGATTAACATATGATTATCCAGGATTACATACACGATTAATCAATTTGAATATAGACCTTCTTAATATTGGCACCATTTTTTCCAATAAGAAACTTATGATGTTGTACTTTGGCACGAACTTCAGCCGAGTAACTGGACAATTGCTTTTCATTTGTGAGTTCAAGCAACTGCTGCTTTGCCTTTTCAACATCTTCTTTTGGCCCTCTAATAGTCACCTAAATATAATAGGTTATATCATGCAAATATGATATCAACCATTTTAATTCTAACATATAAAATTTGTTATACCTTATCACTTCGACTTTCCGCGGTAGGAAATTTAATTGCAACGCCACCACAATCTTCCATAATAGAATGAATCAGTTTCCCGCCAGTACCAATAAGGGAATTGTAAAACTTTGGTGGAATTACTATTTCATCCGTAATAATGTTGGCCAGTTCATTTTGTATTTTTTGAATCATTTCTTTAGCTTTTTCTACGTTTTCTTTTTTCCCTGTGATAGTTATGACATCACTTTTCTCGCCTTCAGCAGGCAAATCTATCTTTGTTTGCGTTTCCTCTCTGATCTAAATGGTCAAAAGAAAATGAACAGAAAAAATCCAAGCAATGTTCATTTTAAAATGATCGAATTTGGTTTCTAGTATTTTTCCGTATACGAACCTTACGAATATTTACTCCGCCTTTACCAATTACAAATTTATGGAACTGTTTAAAAATGGGAACCTCTAGTACATAATTATTTTCATTTAGCTCTTTTACCAACTTCATTAAATACTTATGGCACTTATCTACATCTTCTTTAGGCCCTCTAATTTTTACTATATCTCCTTTTTCGCCTACAAAAAAATCATGTTTTTAGTAATTTCATGTGAAACATGATGCAATAATTTCTGTTTTCATGAATTGATTTTTTCATTATCCACATTTTAATTTTTTACATAATTTAAAAGAACGAGGGTACATAACAATGCAAACTGCGAGATGCGACCTGCACTCTAAAAATGCACACCGAGCTCCCATTGGCTAAATGCCAACAAGGGCCGAGGTCTTTCAAATGTTTGTACCTGGCATAAATCCGAGTTCTAGTTATTGCATATATCATGCTACATACCTGGACCAGGAATAGTAATCTGTACTTGATTAAACTTATCTCGGATTTCTTTAATATTATCTCCCTTATTGCCGATAATACTAGGATAATAACGATGATCTATTATTACATCTTTCTCTTTTTCATTCTCTAATTTTTTCACCATTTCCACCAATTCCTATAATAAACGAAAAAAAGCAAAGTTTAAAGTGTATATTATTTATAATATACACATAAGTAAATTTACGAACCGTTTGAGCTTTCATTACACCAGCGAGATTTCCTTCAATACGGATGATGTTACTGCCATCGTTCTCAGAAATGTTAATAACAACACCTGTTCCTTCTTTCACACGGTTCACTATAGAGAAAAACGATATACATATAACACGCATGCAAGTACGTGATCTAGTCACGGGAATCCTATAGCTTCGGTATAAAAATTAAATATTAACGAGCCTTACCATTACATCCATTTTTTCCAATAATATGTTTATAAAATCTGGGATCAACATTTAATTCTGTAAAAGTGAGTTTAGCAATAAGATCGCTAGCCATTAACTGGAGTTCATTTTGTGCTTTCTCTACTTCTTCAGGTGGGCCTTCAATTTTAATTTTATCTTCCTTTCCAGTAAACTCTACATTCACTTTTGGCATTTCTTGTGTAATACGTTTAATATTGACACCCTTCCGTCCTATTATGTATTTATGGATCCAAACAGGCGCTTTTACTACAGCCGTGCGAACGCTGTTTGCCTTCTCGTACACTTTATTCAATGCTGCAATAGGCAATATATGCATTAATATTTTTATCTGGTAAAAATATACATCTGTACATTAGGATACTACCTTGACCAAGCTTTTCTTGAGGTCCTCGAAGAGTAATAGTTCCCGTAGGTGAATCTGACGCAGGCATTTCCACGCTTACACCCGTTACTTGTAATATTTCTGCTATTGTACTACCACGAGGACCGATAACATATTTGTGCTGCGATTTCGGAACTTCAACAGACACCGTAGTACACCTTTTTTCCTAAATTAAAAACACAACTTTAATTCTGAAATATACGAAACATACGACATAATATTTATTTCGAAAAGTCTTACCATATCTCTATAGATGGCTTCAATCTTTTGCTTTGCTGCAAGCACACCTTCTTTTTCACCAGCAATGGTTATTTCATCTTCTTGTACAGATGCAGGAGGAATATTAATTCGAGCTCCAGTTTCTGCCATCATGGCATTGAGATTCTCGTTATGCGCACCATGAATAAAGGGATGATATATTTTTGGCACAGATACTCGTTCAAACGCCTTCCTCGACTATAATACGAACCGATATATGTATTATTTTCTTAATATACTGTAATTCGATAGAAGAATAGTTACTCGCTAACCTGTTCGTCTGAAATTACTCTAATTTCATGCTCAGCCTTCTCTATTCCTTCTTTAGTTCCTGTGATTACTATCGTATCTGATTGATCTTGCACAGGTGGAACATTTATTTTTGTAGCAGTTGTCTTTTCCAAATCTTTAAGACGCTGTCCCTGCTTTCCAAGAATCCAACGATGGTGGTCCTTAGGAATGCTAATTAGTTTACTCGCCTATGATGACATATTAGAAGTATCAAAATATTTACAAAATACGATGTTACGCCAGATTTTAGTTTTAAATCAAACCTGAGTCTGAAATGTTGTTAAAATTCGGCGCTTGGCTTCCAAAACTTGGTTTTGTTTGCCAGTTATAAGGAATGTAAGAGATTGATCTTTCGACGATGCTATTTCAATGATCGTATTTGTCTCTTTCATTATTGTTTTACACGTACGTATAGATTCACGTTCGCCAAACTTGTCGCTATGATCAAACTTGCGTTCTTCCCCAGGAACACGAAACATCTAAATAGGGTTACAAGACAAAAATAAAAATTTACGAAAAACAATTTATACATATACCAAAATATTTAAAGTATAAATAATTTATACCTGTGTGATAGTAACACATCCAACTTGTAAATTGTTATTTATGGAGAAAATATTCAATTTTCCAGAACTTGAACTGGCTGACTCGGGAAGAACTGGGAATGTCTCATCGTAGGTAGGTGGCTCATAGGCCGTTCCTTCTTCCATTACTGACTGCTGCTGCATGATGGGGTTGTCCTGTTTCGTGCCAAGTCCTTACAGTAGCACTATGATATATACCAATGTATGTTAAACTCTAAAGAAAATCTTTGGTTTCCTATTGTATATACATTGCAAATAGAGTATAACATGTTATGGACAATATTCATCAACAATGACTTGGTTTTGGGAATATAAAGAAATTTGAAATATTCAAAGGCATCATCTTTTTCATTGCACAACGTTTATTAATATTTATACTCGCGATACGTGTTTTAGATAAATCGAATAAATCTTAAGTATACATTCCATTCTTACATTATCGTTTTATTAATTAAATCAAATCCTTCGACAATACCGAGGAATAGTGACGTGTAATCGTCATGACAAAAAAATTCCGAAAAAAAGAAACGAAAGGTACGAAAAATTTTAATGGGAATCGATAGTCATGCTATATCCGCAGTGTAAAACTCCGTTTACTGGCACTCTCTGTATGTAAATTACGATCAATGATTTTGTACTCGATGCGTGCGATTAAAAATGACGACTGGCATTAAGTAGTTGTAACAATTATCCTAAACGGGAGACGAACAAAACATATTCAAGTTAAATGCCAGCATGTCAATGACCAGCCGAGTGATTGAGGCAGTGACCACCATATGGAATGAAGTATTCACTTGACACGTCACACTATCGCTAACCTCACCCGAAACGAACGTATGCACGTTTCACGGAACGAAAATAGTGCTCGTGAATTTCTATAACGAAATATATGATACACCCGTAATCCAAGGCTAATGCCGTTATGTTCGGAGGCAGAAACACAGAATGAAAGAAAAAGATAGAGCGAGAGACAGAGGAAAGAGAGAGGCGAACAAATTCGTATGGACAATCACGATATATCACGAAACGATACTCACTCTACCGTAATAAAGAAATCCGGCCAAGTAATAAATGCGTATTACGAAGCCAGTTTAACAGTGATTTGCCTGAAACATTAGAAAATCCACGCGTATTAGGCACTGGTCAGCACTTAATCTAATTCAATTATCATCGAGCAAGTAATTGTCCACTACTTCCACAAACGTACGTCTTTCCTTACCGGTAACGCAAAGTGAAATGAGATAAATACATCTCTGTTGCAGAAACTTACTATAATATAGGGATAACAAGGGGGATCTTTGTTGCAAACCCTGCGGTGCAAAAAATACTAGCAAAGTTGCATGGTTGCATCCAGTGATGGGCAAAACCGTAGGCTTCGAATAAATCTGAAGTTTGCCGATATGTCTATCTCCTTTCCTCTTTAGAACATTTTCCAAAGAAGGAAAAGAGACAAACATATCGGCAAACTTCAGATTTATTCGAATCCTAGGGTTTTGCCCATCACTGGTTGCATCTATACTTCCATCGAATAGATTATACTATTTTTTAACATCTTACAATTATCAATTACAATTATTAACTTAAAATTTGTGTAGCTTCATTAAGTCTTGATTTCCTACAGAGCAAACTTTAGTACTCGCAATATCCGCAATTGTCTTTAGTTACTGATAATAAACCACCGACTTTTCTAATAAAATTCACTATTTTTCTTCAAACGACCGCTATTTTATCATTTTCGTTTCTATCTTAGCCCATAGCAGATCGACAAGTGTTTATTAAAAATTTAGTTGGTTTTGCGTTTCAGATTCCAAAATTTCTGATATATTAACAATGAAAAAAACTTAAATTAAAATATCGAGTATCCAATAGTTTCTAAGAAGCATTTGGAAGCATTCAGTACACAAAATAACACGAATAATAAAATTCTACACAACTCTTCAAACATACACACACCTGATTAAATATTTAAGATCAATTACATAATTACTTTTAACTAACCGCTAATAAATACGAGTACAACTTTAAATCCAAATGAGAATAAAATTTCTTTATTTGTATTTCCTTTTATTCAAATTTAATTTTTATGCTATCCGTTGATACTTATTTTTCTATGAGCATTTTGAATACGTTGTAAACTTGCAAGCATTCATCACGTGTCCTGTATTTATTGTAATCAATTGTAATGTTAATGCTTTTGTAACACGTCGAACGTTATCGGTTACTTTATGTATTTTCATTGTATGAAATTTTTAAATCACATCATCACATACCAGTTTTAAGATATGATCCGTAAGATAAGCCATAGATAAGTAATGATATAAGTTGTCAAATTGCAATAAAGCTTGTAATTGTTTTTATATTTTTATTGTTCCCTCACTATTTGTAGAGCATCGTACCGAGTAATATTTAATTGTGATTAGTAAAGCCAGGCATAAAAGAAAAGAAAATACTAATCAAAATTTATATTTAATTGCATCGTTACATAACTGGTTAGGACGAAGGTTAAGCGTAGGTCATCTTTCAAATACAGTCAAATGCTTTTTTGAGTTCTGACGTCTAAGGAAGAAAAAAATATGCCCGAAAATATTAATCCTTCGGTACCGCTCATAGGAGCGATAGACGAAGGTACAAGCAGCGCCAGATTTTTAGTAAGTAAACATTTGCTTTTCTCATATTTACATATAAACTTCACGAAAATAATGGACAACCACTAAAGATATCTGAATGGAGTTTGAACCTTACTCGAACAATAGCTAAATGATTACATTTGTTTTATAATACATATTATAATTAAAAATCAAACGTCATTTTGTATTTTGTATGAATATTTTTTTTAACTCATTATATAACAAAAATTTGTAAATATTTTGGCAATATTTTTGGCAAATATTTTGTTGTACTTAGATATTTGACGTATTACGTGGGAAAGTAGTGACATCGCATCAAATAGAGATTAAGCAAAGATGTCCACAAGAAGGATGGGTAGAACAAGACCCAAAAGAGATCTTACAAGCTGTCAGAGAGTGTATAAAAAAGGCAATAGAAAAGTTACACGACATTGGCTTAAATGCATCGAATATCAAAGCCGTTGGGATCACTAATCAGAGAGAAACTACTTTAGTATGGGATAAAGAAACAGGAGAACCATTGCACAATGCAATTGGTAAAGTATATAGTCTAGTATTTAAATATTATTCATGATATTTATATGTATTAAATAATTAATGTTAATATTACAGTGTGGCATGATATGAGAACAACTACAACTTTGGAAGATATATTAGATAGTATACCTAATAAAACAAGAAACCAAAATTATTTAAAACCACTTTGTGGACTTCCAATGTCTCCATATTTCAGTGCTCTTAAAATACGTTGGCTTATTGACAATATACCACGTGTCAAACAAGCTGTAGATGCAGAGAGATGTGCTTTTGGAACAATTGACACGTGGCTCATTTGGGTACATCAATTAATTTACTTTTGTCTATATATTTACTGTACAATTACAATAGTTGTATTGTATAATCTGTATAATTTTTCTGTACAGAATCTTACGAAAGGTTCATTACATGTAACAGATGTTTCAAATGCATCTCGTACCATGTTGATGAACATAGAAACTCTAAAGTGGGATCCTTTGTTGTGTCGATTTTTTGGAATTCCACATCACATTCTACCTGAAATACGATCTAGTTCCGAAGTATATGGAATAGTCTCAAACCCTGAAGTCCTTGCTGGTGTACCTATAGCTGGGGTAAATTATTCAAGTCATATTTTTAGTTGAAAACTGACTTATACAAATTATGTTCTTTTTGCACATATAGTGTATAGGTGATCAACAAGGAGCTTTACTTGGTCAATTATGTTTAAAGCCTGGACAAGCAAAAGCCACTTATGGAACTGGTTGTTTTCTACTTTATAATACCGGAAACATCGTACGTATCCATCTTTTACTATCAGGCCGTTAAGATCATTGAAAATCAATTCATAAAATTTCAACCTGTTATTTGTTAATTTAATCGTTTAATTATGTCAGAAAGTAGATTCACATCACGGACTTATAACAACTATTGCTTATAAAATCGGTAAATCTCCAGCAATTTATGCGTTAGAAGGCTCTGTTGCCGTCGCCGGAGCAGCCTTATCATGGTTGCGAGATAATCTGCAACTCTTCAGTAGCTTTAGTCAGGTGCAGGAGATGGCAGAAAGTGTAAGTTCTTCTGGAGACGTGTATTTTGTACCTGCCTTCTCTGGTTTATATGCACCTTATTGGCAACAGGATGCGCGGGGGTAAATATACTTCAGTAGTAATATTTAAATAAATGGTTATTATTGCTTTTTGATGTTGTACACCACATGTTACAATTCATTAGAGTAATATGTGGTATCACCGAAGATACACAGGACTTTCATATTGTTCGAGCAGCGTTAGAAGCTGTCTGTTTTCAAACAAGAGATATTTTGGAAGCAATGGTAAAAGATTCTGGAACGAAATTAACTACGTTATTAGTCGATGGTGGAATGACTGTAAATAATTTGCTCATGCAACTACAAGCGGATCTCGTTGGAATAAATGTTGGTATGTGTCAGTCTTCATTTATATAAAATCATTTGTTATAAATAAATAAATTTTCTATAGTAAGACCCAATATGGTGGAAACAACAGCGTTAGGAGCCGCTATACTAGCTGGCGTTGGTATCGGTATTATTGATATTAATGAACTGGATGCATCGCATGTCACAAAGTTCACACCTGCTATTGGAGAAGATGGTAATATTTCTCTAAACAATATTGATAATATAAGAAGAAGAATATAAGTACATGGTCCTATATGTATCTATATTTCAGAACGAGACTTGAGGTACTGTAAGTGGAAAATGGCTATAGAAAGGTCAATGAAGTGGGATTGTGCTACCTCATCCTTCAACAATTAACTGAAGTGCATACAAAATGTAAGCATAAATAATAAGAAGTACATATATGAATCGATTAAACTTTAATACACATATTATGTAATATAAATACCATCTTCTTAGGCTATATCTGAGTTGGAATACCTGTACATGAAACGATTCAATTATTGAACGCTACTATGTAGCTTTCAGGTATAGCATAACGTAGTACATGTACGCTGCGCTCAATTTAGGAGTTTAACACAAACTGAGGGCCCAATATGTATGTAGTACATAAAATAACTTGTTAAATATGTGCAACATGTATGCAAAAATGGAAGAAACATGTATTAATTTAGAAAGTGTTCTATATGTTTTATTGATAAATATGTTAATGTATTGTTACAAATGTTTGTTATTTCTTATTAAAGAAAATTATTGTTGTCCCACACATTAACTAAATATCTTGTTTTTTTTAAATTAATATACATATTCGTAATATTATCCAGGGAACTTCACTTTTTATATGTTTTTCGTATAACTCCATATTGCCTCAAGCCAATATTACGTGTTTTAAAAATTTTTTTCTTCTGTGTCGTAAACTCCTATTTGTAGAAAATGATAATCAAATTATGTCATGAGATGTGGTTTTACAAATACATAGCTAGTGTACAAAGAATATAGAAATATATTATTTAGAAATAATACCTCGCCCTCCTCCTGTCGGTTAACCTGTGATGCTTCACTTGATTGCATTGTATTTGCACTTCGATCAGAAGAAAGGTAATTTCCTGTGGAATTGGAAACCTATAAAAATAGTATTGTTGCCTTTTTATGTTGTATTCAAAAGAGTAGCCAAATAAATTTACGTAAGGTAACAATGAAAAACATCACCTTAGTCAAATCGTGTTTTTCCCTTTTTCCTTGTTTCAACGGTGATAATACCTGAAATTGAATGGGGTCCATAAATAAATAAAGTTAAATTTTGTATGAATGCGCAAATTAAAACTTACTTTATCAAACTTGCTACTAACTTCATTCAGATTAAAATTGTATTCATCTTTTTCTTTCCGATTCAATGTTTCACCTTTATCTTTATGTTCAATCTTTTGTGTACCAATATTTTGTTCACTTTGAAATTTTGGCTGCTTTGTTTCAGAAATTGGATTTGTTTTTCTTTGACTTCCTATACCATACATTCTACTTGCATCTATCATATTAACTTCCGTAATTGATCGCTCCGTTCCCTTCACATTATTTTCATTTTCCTTCGTATTATCATATTCCGCTGGTTTATTCTGATTTTCTTGAGTCATTTTGTTTAAGGTTTCACTTAGTTTTAGAAAAGCAGAACTTTGTGTAGCTAGTTTGGTATCGAAGTCTTTCTTCAAAACACTTATTTCCTTATCGTACTTTTCTTGTAATAATCTATTTGATTTCTCTAAATCCTGTTTGACAAAAACCAATTAAATTTATTCATTAAAAAATGTATTTCTTCGATTGCAATTAGTTCTTAAAAATCTACCTGAATCTTTGTCTGTTTTATTAGAAGTATCTTTTCTTTCTCGTGCTTCAAGATTTCGTTATTGTTTTTCATCTCCAGCATGGATCTCTCAAGATTTGAATTATAAGCATCGGCTTCTTTTAATTTATTTTCCATGCTTATAAAATCATTTAGCATTTTGTTATATTTATCTCCAATCACATCAAGGTCTTTAGCTAAACTCGATTCTATTTCTTGCCTCGCATTTAAATTTTCTCGAAGTCGATCGACCTATTTAAAAAAATATATTAATTTTTACGTATAGGTTTTAGTTTATTGATATATGAAAAGTTATTGTACTGTACATCGTTCACTTTTGATTCTAATTGTTTTCTCAATTCCGCTTCTTTTTCAATTATTTTCTCATATCTTACATTTAATTCTGTATTCTGACGTGCCAAATTCTCGTTTTCATTCCTGGCAACATAAATCGAGACATTAATTTTTATATGTATAAATCATTAATTCGCGAAAGTACTCACTTGCATGCAAGAATCTCTTCTTGTAATTTCGAAAGTTCTTTTTCTTTTCGTTCAAATAAGTCTGTTAAATATTGCTTTTCTTCTGTGATCAATTTTAATTGTAGTTGTAATTCTTCGTTCGCCGACGTGAGTTTTTCTTGTTCCTGAAATCATTATCGTTTACGATATATTTCACGTGTCCATTGTTCCTACGATAACAACGTGAAGCGATATAACGTGGACGAAATTGTTTTGTTAGTTTGAAAACAAGATAACACACGTCTTCCTACTTAAATAAAATTATTTATCTAATTAGTTAACGCGCGCGTAGAAAAACATCCGAAAATATTGTATTTGGAACCTTTATTAATTGCAATTTTTCTTCCGTATAAATCTGATTTAAACGATTCTTTTCCGAAATTGCTTCGCTTGCGACATCCTCCCATTCTTTCTTCAATTCAGTCTCCTTAGCCGTCAATTCCTGTATTCTAATAATTTAAAACATAATAATTATATTACGCATCGTTTAACAAGCAATTTACATACATACATTTTTTCTTGATTCGCAACTTTACTTTCAGCCGCAGCAACGATGTTCCTTTGTTCCTCTTCTGTATAAAGATATAATAAAGTCTGCTTAGTTAGTAACGACAAATACACTAATGAAAAGACAAATAAAATTGTTGCAAACCTTTTAATTTAATATTATTTAATTCCTCTTTCAACTTCTTCATCGCTGCATGTTGCATAAGAATAGTGTCGTTGTACATCGAGGACAAATTGTCTTTGTGCTGTTGAAATCCCTTCAAACTCTCCGAGATCTCGTTTAAATATACAGTAATCGTTTCCCAGTCGCTACTCAAACTGAAAACTCAATAATGGTACACTGACTCACTTGGATCAGTACATTTGACTTCTTTTAAATTAGCAACAGAAATAGTACGTTACTTGCTCAATATTTCCTCTTTAGCTTGTATTTCAGCATCACGCGCAGTTGAAAGCGAGGATACAGTCGCCTCCGCGCTCATCAGTTTCCTATGCAGCACTTGAACCTTTCGTTCTTCCATGGCGCATTTCCGTTTCAATTCTTCCACGAGCGGATTTTCCTGCACGTAGAATCGAAACAGTTTTAAAGAAAAGAGATAATGGTTGTTTTTCTTTTATCTTTAATTGGAATCGAATTGTACGAACGGCCGTCAGAAATTGAGGAGGCTGGACTCCCATATGCTTTGACCATTGCGCTATCAATGTGTCGACGAATTTACCACTCGAACAGGTTTTCTGAACCTTGTCCAGAGTCTCGTTGTGAGATTGTTGAGATTTACGTTTAGCGGAAGAAATTTCAGTTTGCAACTTCGCATCATTCTTCGACGATCCTGCAATAAAGTTTCTTAAGCATTATAGGCATACGTTTTTGTATGCCATGTATTCATTTATAGCCTAACATGAAACACCCTGTATAAAGAGCTTATGTTTTGTAAACATCGTATTCTTCTATTCACGGACGTACCGCTGCTTTGTGGCGTAACTTGGTACTCGTCAGGATTATTGTGAGGAGTATAATGAATTCTGCGTTTAAATTCTTGCGAACGCGATCTCATCATCTCTCTTCTGTCGGAGCCTACGCATTAATTACGAGATTACTATTATCCCCACAACGAATAATATAAATGGCCGTTGAAGCTTACCCCTATCTCGTGGCGTCACTTGTGCTTTTTCTGGAGTCTCATTGTAAGATACCAGAGTAGATTTACAAATATCTTCTTCGTGTTGCATTTTCCTGTTTACTCTAATTAATGTTACGTTGGAATGTAACAAATGAAATAGTCGCGACGCGTCCGTTTACCCGATTAAACCGGATTTGGCTGATCAATTTTAAACTGTACTACTTATTCTCAAGTAAACGCTAGATGCTTACGTGAAAGTATATCACATGAAGTATAATGGTACGATAATATTAAAACACCGTTTCATGATATAAAGATAAACAAATTCTCAATGATAATCGTCGAAAAAAGTCCTTTAGTTGTTGGTAAAGTATCATCGAATTCGATTCACAATTTACTGATTCACCAAGTTATCGACCGACAAACTTGATTTGATTTAATTACAATTACTTCCGGTTACTCATCCCGTGCACCAATTTCAAACATAGCTTATACATAAACTAGTAATTTAAGAAAACAGTGATTCTTTTTGGTTGCAGAAACGAAACATTCTTTATTAAACTGTACCTTAATAAAGAGTTTAGTTGGAATACCGTAGAAAAAGCTTAACCCCAAACTTACCGACGTACGTTTCTAACCATTTCTGTTCGCGATGGGATCAATTTTTTCAATTGAATGCAGAAATATTTTACGTGGAACTGAATTGAACAATGCATGAAACAACTGTATATAAATTGTATATTGCATACAAGCTTTGCTATTGCGGTAAGCTAAACTTACCGACGTACGTTTCTAACCATTTCTGTTAGCGATGGGATCAATTTTTTCAATTAAATGCAGAAATATGTTACGTGGAACTGAATTGAACAATGCATGAAACAACTGTATATAAATCATACATTGCGTACAAGAAATATATATTAACGTTTAGTGTTAACAATGCGCAAGAGCGATCGCGGAAATATCAGGCGTGCTAAATCGATGGCGGGTCTCTATAGCGCATGTGACATCTCGTTCTCTGGGAATGCATCTCTTATCCTTCTTCCGTCCATTGCGGTATTTCCCTTTTTCGTCACAGAGGGTTCGCAAAGGAAAACTGATTCAGTGTACGTGCCGCAGCAGAGGAGTGCACTGGAGTAAATTGGAGTGCACCAGAATACACGGTTCGAGCAGCGACGAGACGACGAGGACGAGATGAAGGAACACGAGACGACAGGAGCTTGCCAGAGAAAACCGACCAAACTGAGGAACCTCATTTACAAGACCGAGGCCTTCGATTCCCTGCACGCCAGAAATGCTGAGGTAAAATGATGAATCGCAAATCTTTCTCGTCCGTTTATTCATTGTTGCTTATCCATCTTTTGCGAATCATTTCGAATCTGTTCATCTCAATTGTCTTTCGCGAAGGTCTACACAAACTGTGCGTTCGAAGGAAACTGCGAATGTTAGAAAATTTATGACTGGACCAAGTCAATATCATCGAAGAGCGAGTGTGCGTTTCCGTGTTCCACTAGTTGCGCGGATGAGGATGATGCGCTCTTTTTCGCTAATTGCACGGTATTATAGTATCGTTTTGTTTAACTGTCGCGTGCACGATCTTTTAGTAAAATTAGAGTTTATGGCTTTATTATGATTTTCCAGAGCTGTAAAAGCACGACCCGTATCGAGACTTTCATCGAAAACGTTCGATCATCCCGGAGATGTTATCTCTGAAAGCATATAGACATCGCTGTCGGCTAGCCAGTAGAAAAATTGATGGACCGCTATAAAAGTTTTTAAAACTCAAAGTAAAGCTTCACGATAGCATTCAGATATTATAGTAACATCGATCGATATTAATGTAGTATCCACGCCTCCCGTACTTGACGATAAGAAGTAAATATAAGAATACGAATCGCAGGTTGCAGTGATGGTCGTGTAAAAAATGCGGCCCAATTAGCGGTTAGTGATCCATAGCAAGAATATGTAGAACTTATGCAGAACTTAATCCTCGCGCGATTAAGGTTGAAAGCTGGTACTCCGAATTCCCTCGCGGTTTTAACAGCAACGAGACAATAGTAAAAAATGTGATTAACGCTAAGCGTATCAGGGAAATGTCTGCATGTGTTCTTTCAGAGAACGCTGTGCTCGGGCCAAGTGTGCCTCGGTAGCATCATGCAACTACCAACTCACGGAACCGAGTGCCGTTCCAAGGAAGAGATTTTCGTTCAAGCAAAGGAGTTCCTCGAGCAGTACTTTTCCTCCATCAGAAGGTACCGATCGAAACACATTCAGGAACGCACAATGCATCCAAGACGTTCGGATGCACCGAACTGAACGAGAAATGAACGAATGCTGCTATAATAAAATTAACGAGAATCCCTCTAAATAAAAAAAAAAAATCGAAATAAAAAAAATAGAGTTTAATTCGTATGTAATGTAACAAGTATTGCTCTGTGCCGTAGATTGAACAGCGACGCTCATCGTTCTCGATGGGATTGCGTTCAAAAGGAAGTCCTCGTTACAGGCACCTATCAGCTGACCGAAACGGAATTGGTTTTTGGAGCGAAATTGGCGTGGCGTAACGCCGCGAGGTGCATCGGTCGCATTCAATGGTCTAAATTGCAAGTAGGTAACCAACGAAAGCTCCTGCGTACGCGTACAGGATGTCGCTTTCTCATCGATCCACGCAAGTGGATTAGTAACAACTTATTTCACCCGAATGCTTCAACTTGCGATATACTTTCCTTAATTTACACGAAATGAAAAGATTATTTTCAGGCGTACTTTTCGCGACATCAGTCGATTACTAATCCCGCTAATATCATGAGTCGTCGTGATAAAAGTCGGGGAATCCCTACTTTCCTCGAAGACATTACCCCACAAAGTTTTTCCTTTAATGTTTATAAATGTACTTGTAGGTATTTGACTGTCGTTATGTGACCACAACCAGCGGTATGTTCGAAGCTTTATGTAACCACATTAAGTACAGCACTAACAAAGGCAACATTAGGTACGCGCAGGAATGTTATAATTAGTCATAATCTATTCCTAAGTATTATTACACATTCGTTGAATTTCCAGATCAGCGATAACAATATTTCCGCAACGCACGGATGGAAAACACGATTACAGAGTATGGAATCAACAATTGATAAGTTACGCAGGTTACAAGAATCCTGATGGTACGGTCATCGGGGATCCTGTTAACGTTGAATTCACCGAGGTGAAGAATGTTGCTATACCTAATTAAAGTTGCTGCTTGTTCTTAACTATTTCAACGTCAGAATCGGTTGGTGTACGTCTTGCACATTATTGTTACAGCTTTGCATAAAACTTGGCTGGAAAGGTGCGCGTACTCGTTTCGATATATTGCCATTGGTACTATCAGCGAACGGTCACGATCCTGATTATTTCGACATTCCGAGTGAACTTGTCCTCGAAGTACCTCTTAGTCATCCCACGTAAATCTTGCTGTTATTAACGTGTTATAAATAATCTAGCGAGCATAGCCCGTACCTTTGTTCGTTCTCAACAGATACGAATGGTTCGAAAAGTTGGAGTTGAAGTGGTTTGCTGTTCCCGCTGTGTCGGGGATGGTGTTCGATTGCGGAGGTTTGGAGTTCACAGCGGCACCGTTCAACGGATGGTACATGAGCACTGAAATTGGAGCAAGAGATCTCTGCGATGTTCAGCGATACAATTTGCTGGAGGTTTGGCTACGCGGAGTTACGCTATCTTTTTTCTCATGTCACTCAAACATGCTGAAAGAAACATTGTTTACAGCCAATAGCGACTCACATGGGACTGGACACGAGAACGTCCACTTCGTTGTGGAAAGATAAAGCTATGATAGAAGCTAACGTTGCCGTGCTGCACAGTTTCCAAGTATACATATCACTCCTCATCCAAGATTCGCTATGGAAAGTAGTAATAAATCGAGGTCACTTTTTAGATGAAAAACGTGACAATTGTGGATCATCACACTGCCTCGGAATCCTTCATGAAACACTATGAAAACGAGATGCGATTGAGAAACGGTTGCCCAGCCGATTGGCTATGGATCGTGCCGCCGATATCGGGATCAGCCACGCCCGTGTTTCATCAGGAGATGGCTCTCTATCATTTGAAACCATCTTACGATGCTCAGGTCTTTACTAAAAAAAAAGAAAGGATCACGATCAGAATTTTAATTCTGAATAGCTTCAATCGCTGTTAATATTGTTACTACGCAGGATCCTGCTTGGAAGACGCACGTTTGGAAAAAAGGTCGGGATAAAAAGGCAACATCCAAGAAACCGAGACGTAAATTCCATTTCAAACAAATTGCAAGGTAACGAAATGTTTGAATTGTCAGAATTCATTTTTGTATTCTGAAAAGTTTCTAAAGAAATTGCTGAAAATTTCAGAGCTGTAAAATTTACGTCAAAGTTGTTCGGAAGAGCTCTGTCACGAAGGATAAAAGCCACAGTGCTGTTCGCTACGGAAACCGGGACGTCTCAGATGTACGCTGAAAAGCTTGGTGAACTGCTGGGACACGCGTTCCATTCCCAGGTATTTAATAGCTAATTAAACTTTATGGAAGTCTGAAAAATACTTGAAGCTATCGATTTTAGGTTCTTTCGATGTCGGACTATGACATCAGCAACATCGAACACGAAGCTTTGTTGCTGGTTATAACGTCTACTTTTGGGAACGGTGACCCTCCCGAGAACGGCGAAGTAACCAATTTTTTGTATATAATAATACGACGCTTAAATCCTTATTATACAGTACAGTACAGTATATACGCATTTCTCGCTTTTCAGGCTTTTGCTCAAAACTTGTATGCAATGAAGATGAATGAAGCGTACATCAATAGTGGCAACAAGATCAGGTGTGATGATCGTATTAATCTTTCCCGATTCGTTGAATTTTATTTCATAATTATTTGTGCTGTAATTGTAGTTTGGCGACTTCGAAATCCTTCATTAAAGCAAACAGTCAGACGGAAGTAAATAATTGTAAGAAATTGGACAGATTGGATTCCCTTCGCGGATCTACTACCGATTCCCAAACGGAAGATACTTTTGGACCCCTGAGCAATGTCAGGTGCATACTACTTGAAATTCGAGTCAAAATTTCATTTGTAATCGTAATTAAATTTACTGTGCCCGATCTCACCCCGTCTACGTAAACCATGTATCAACGATATCTTCCTTAGATTTGCTGTTTTCGCATTGGGATCATCGGCGTATCCGAATTTTTGTGCATTCGGTCGCTACGTGGACAACTTGTTAGGGGAACTAGGTGGAGAACGTTTGTTGCGACTAGCGCAAGGGGATGAAATGTGTGGACAGGAACAAACTTTCCGAAAATGGGCAGCGGATACATTCGCTGTTCGTACTTCTTGCTATTCGTATCAGTCACACGAATAGGATTCTTCACATTTCTTGTAAATGTTGCAGGTTGCATGCGAAACCTTTTGCTTAGACGATGACGATACTTTGCTCGAGGTCGCTTTGTCTTTAGGATCAGAGGCACTGTCAGCGGCAACTGTACGCTTCGTAGAAGCTGAAGCCCAACCGATTGCAAAAGGTATACTTACTGTTTTTAGCGTTGCAAACATCAATGTCGAAATTTAAATTGATCCTCGTAATTGTATTTTTTCAGCATTGAGCAAATGCCATAATAGAAACGTAACTACCTGTCATATGTTCCGAAAGACGAATTTAAGCGGCGACTCTTCGAGGTGGTGATACGCATTTATTTCATAATTACACGATACTGCGATAAGCGTTCAATTTACATTACTCCTTCTTATAGCGGAACTACGTTACTTTTGGAGCTAGATGATATTGCAAGCATGGAGATAGCATACAAACCTGGTGATCACTTGGGGGTTTTTGCATGCAATAGGCCAGAATTGGTAGAAGGAATATTGAAACGAGTACAAACTCCTTATGACCCGGATTTACCAATTGAATTGCAAATGCAGAAACAATCTCATACTCCTAATGGTTCGCGTAAATGTTATTCAAAATATTAAATTGTAGTTCCTTAGTGATTTTAATTTTTTTTTTTCTTGTCATTTTAATACAGGTATCGTAAAAACGTGGATAGCGCACGATAGATATTTACCCAATTCCTTGAGAATGTTATTAACCAGATTTTTGGATATCACAACGCCGCCAACACCGAATCTCCTCAGATACTTCGCGTCTATAGCTACCAACTCAAAAGAACAAGTTCAACTGAATCTTCTAGCTTCCGTAAATATCTCACTACTAATCAGCGAAAAACATATCTGATTTTTAAGATTATAAGAACTTTAAAGAATGTGTTCTTTCATTGTAGGATCCAGCAGCTTACGAAGATTGGAGACATTGGAAGTTTCCTAATTTGGTGGAAGTACTTGATGAATTTCCATCCGTGAAACCTCTTGCACCATTATTACTACTCCACTTGACTCCTTTGCAACCAAGATTTTATAGTATCTCTTCCTCCCCTGATGTGCACCAAGGACAGATACATCTTACTGTCGCGGTCGTACAATATAAAACACAAGGTACATAATTTTACACATATTTTTAAAATATACCTTGATCGGTAACTAATCATTTCCAAAATAAAAACTAGGTGGTTCTGGATTAAACCATTATGGAGTTTGTTCTAATTATCTTTGTGAGATATCGGATGGCGAACCGCTCTATGTCTTCGTACGTAGGTATGTTCGTACATGTATATTAGCTATTGATAGTACATTATGCACAGGACTTTATATTAACTTTTTATATTTAGTGCGCCTAATTTTTATATGCCGACTTCATCGAAAGCGCCTATGATACTGGTTGGTCCAGGTACTGGAATTGCTCCTTTCCGTGGTTTTTGGCATCACCGACTCGCAGAAATGAAGCGCTGCCCAGGTATCGCATTTTATTACCAATATCATTGTGAGGTGGTTCTTTTCCAACTGTATTAGTCAAAACAATAATAACATATTCCGAAATTTATAGATCTTGGATATGGAAAAGTTTGGCTATTCTTTGGTTGCCGCCAGAGAAACTTGGACTTATATAGACAGGAAAAGAAAGAAATGATAAAAGCCGGAGTTCTAGATAAAGTCTTCCTGGCCCTTTCGCGAGAGCCTGGATTAAAGAAGGTATAGCATTTGAAACGTAACGAAGTTACTTGCATAACTTTAAAATAAATATTTTTACGACAGACATACGTACAAGATTTAATTCAAGCGGAGGCCCCACAAATTTACGATATGTTGGTGCACGAACAAGGGCATTTTTACGTTTGCGGTGACTGTACCATGGCGGAGGATGTTTATCAAACTTTGAAACATATCATACAGACCCATGGTGAAATGACGGATAAGCAAGTCGAAGTGTATATGTTATCGCTACGCGTAAGTCGTACATTCAATGAACCGAAAACGATTACATGATTTAAAATATTGATGTAACTTATCATTTTAGGATGAAAATCGTTATCACGAAGATATATTTGGTATAACTTTGCGAACGGCGGAAGTACACAATCGATCAAGGGAAACAGCGAGAAGCAGAATGGCTGCGGAACCCTAGATATCGTGGCATACATAATCTTCAAAAGTTATAAACAATTTGTTGATAGTTTTCAATTATGCATATCATGCATGTTTTTTGCAATCTATGAGCAAATATTAAATTTTGAAAAACATTTAAGTACTACTACTAATTCTCTGACATATCTAATAATCACATTATGTCCGACGATTTTACCAACTACATATAATGCACGAGTTAGTAACAGCATAGTATACATATATATTTTTGATGATGCTAAAGATTAATTCTATTGAGTGAATATCAGATTAACTAACACATTTTAGTCCGAGCATAAGAAATAAGAAAAATATATACTTGAAAGATGACTGTATCCATTAAACGGGTTTTAATATATCATGCTTTATTTTCGTGTTGAATGTACATAAAATAAATAGTTCCAATATAAATATAAATACCTATCTATTTTATTAGGATATCGAGTTTTATTTACAGACAAAGACGTTAAATATAATTGAAATATATAGCATTTATTACATACAAAACTTTGTTGGATTCAGCATAATGTACGCTGTTTTACCAAATACTCCAAGTGGATCATTACGCATTTTTATTTGACAAAATGTATGTTTATTTGTAACCACGGTAAATAAAAAATACACATGGTTGACTAATCTGATTTGCTTCTTCTACTTACTTATGCAGCAGTATCAATACCCGGCTTTTGTTTCTCGCTAATATTAGCTAACAGTTTCTTTATTTCTGCAATCGCTTTTCCAGGGTTCAAACCCTATTTAAAAAAAGATATTAATTTTAAACTAAGATTACGATTAGTAGATTATTATTCAAAGATTTACCTTAGGACAAGTACGAGTGCAGTTCATAATAGTATGACAACGATACACTGAAAATGGATCTTTCAATTTTTGGAGACGTTCCGCTGCTAGATTGTCGCGCGAATCAATTATCCACCTGTAAGCCTGCATAAGTACGGCAGGTCCTAAGTATTTATCGCCATTCCACCAATATGATGGACAAGAGGTACTACAGCACGCGCATAAGATGCATTCGTAGAGACCATCCTGTATTACAGAAGAATGTAAATTATGTCTAAAAAAGTTTAAGTTATAATGTTTTATCAAAATTACCAATTTTTTTCGGTCTTCAACGCTTTGCAAATATTGCGTGGATCCAGCTTTCTTTCCGTCACCGCGTTGCAACCATGGCTGTATACTTTTATATTGGGTGTAGAAGTTAGTGAGATCTGGGACCAAGTCTTTTACTATGTACATATGTGGTAAAGGATAGATTTTGCTAGATGAACTTAAGTTAGCATCGATTTTACTGAAACAATGAAAAATATTATTTATACCTTGAATTTCATTACCATTATAATTTAACCAATAGGAAATCAATTACCTAATACATGCTAATGTGTTTGTGCCGCCAATGTTCATAGCACAAGAACCACAAATGCCTTCACGGCAGGAGCGACGGAAAGTTAAAGTTGGATCAATCTCATTCTTAATTTTAATCAGTGCATCCAAAACCATCGGGCCACAACTAAAATTATATGTTTTCCAATTGTACATATACAAAAGAAATGATACAAAACTTACAAAAAAATATTATCGTTGAACTTACGTGTTTAAGTCTACCTTATAGTCTTGCATATATGGTTTCTCATCTGGTTTGTCTGGATTCCAACGATACACAGAGAAAGTTTTCAGTCTGGCTTCGGCATTTTGACTTCCAGAGGTATGCAAACCTCTAATCTAAATTTACAATTAAGCACATAGAGATTAAAATGATGAGAGTAAAACGAGACACTACAATTATATAATTATAATTGGTTATGTTTATTACGCTTACACTATCGTACATCCAAACGAATAAATATCGTTACGCATGCAAATTTTAACATTATTCCTTAACTAGAGCATATGACGTTGTTGACTGCATTCGAGGGTAAACGTCAATATACATGAATGGAAAAAAAACAATCGATCTGACATTAGTAACGAAATGCAGTAAGTTATGTTTTGTTATTGACTTTTTGTGCAATACGACACAATAATGGAAGCGTATACTGTAGCGAGAAAAATTTTGTTATCATCTAGCAATACGATTTAACGAGTGCTTACCTGTCGAAATGCATTTCTGCAAGCTTGCGGACCGATACCAGCCATTTTTTTCAGAGAATTGCAATGAAGGCGTTTGCGGTACCTATGTTACGTAATTTTTGCACGTGAGGGTGTACCACAGTGGCGTAACTAAGGGATGTGTAATGCGAGACAAACAGACCCCCGATTTTCAGTTAATATCGCAACCAAGAATTGCAAATGGAAGAGGAAATTTGGAAGATGGAAATTTGTCTACTCTGTATTTATAAATACAAATAATTATCTTTCTACAATATCAAATTGAGAAAATACGTTTTCTAACATTGTACGAGATTTAGGGAAAAGTTCAATCATAAATTTTAACATCGGGCTACAAAATCTCTGGTTACTTCTCTAAGTACCAACCTTGTCTCTGGTTCCTTACGTAGAAATTGCGTGCGAATACGAAATCATACGAAATCATTTTCATTTGTTTCGACATCGATAAACGCGCAAATATTATTTAAAGTGATTATTCGTGAACGTCATAAAGCTCACTATTTTTTTGGGGTAGAATGCATAACACGCACATTTAAAAAAATTTGTGAAGCCAACGATAAGTCATTAATAGCGAATTTTTTACAAATAAATATTCGTTTCGTTACGCATAATAAATGTTCTGTGTTATTATATATTACAGTTACACATTTCGCTATACAATTATCAAATTATTTTTAAACAGACTTGCAGCATACAAGTATTCCTAGTTCATATGCACGTGTTTGTGGTTTATACGATTTTATAAGATTACTTTCGCGCGTTCAAGGATGGATATTGAACACCAATTCTATAGAAATAGAATATTTACGATTAATTCTAAAACAATTAAGCGTACTTGCCAAAGTTTATAATTTTCAAAGTTCCTGATATAAAAGAATATAGTTTATTTATGTAAATTTTACTAATATTACGCAGTAGTGAATTGAACAAGTTACTTCATCATGTTTAGGTAATGTATAATTCAACAAGTTATTTCATCATGTTTAGGTGATTTCGATACAAAGTCTAGTATTTCTGTAGGTTATGTTTTCTGTCATTTGTACATCATGTTTTTAAAAATAAAATCAATTTATATGTGCGCTATTGATACGAAATATAATGCGTGACTTAGATTACATATACATACATGATCCTAATAGCAAATAACTTAATAACGTGAAAATCATGAATGCAATAGGTATAACCTAGTTTACACACGTTTATTCTTTAACGATGTAAGCATTTCTGGATATGATAAATATTGTGCTTCAACTAATATGAACAGTAGGCATTACTTTTCCTTTTTCTATATTTTGTTATTATTTATACCGATTATTAAGTATCATTGCGAAATATCGAAACTTGCCTTTATTCATCAAATCAATAGTATGTAAACCCAATGGAATATAAAGGTAAGTTTTCATAATAAAATCGATGGCAGTAATTTTACTTTCAGTAATGTTAGATACTTATTAAATTGATTTTAAAATCGAAAGAATCTATACTATTTTCAGGCACGTATTATTATTTGAAAATGTTATATTACACAATAAAAACAATTTTAACAAACACTATATAGGAAGAATGTACATGGCTCAAACTTCGAAAATGAAAGAATATGAAGGTCGTAAATTAATAGGGTGAGCTATAAATTTAAAGATTAGATGTCTTATTCCAAATGGAGAAAAGGTTTATAGACAATATTATATTATAAATGATATACACAGGTTTTCGATGGAACAAATATACGACGTTGTGGCGGATGTGAAAAATTACAAAAATTTTGTTCCGTTTTGTAAGAAATCCGATATTATATCGGAAAACGACGATTTTCTCAGAGCCAATTTAGTCATAGGATTTCCACCTATAAACGAAAATTACACGTCCAAAGTAACAAAGGTACGGCCACATATGGTAAAGGCCGAATGCACGGACGGAAAATTATTCAGTCATTTGAATACGTTATGGCTCTTCAGTTCAGGATTAAAAAATAACGCACAAACGAGTGTGATTGACTTTTCATTATCATTTGAATTCAAGTCAATTATCCACTCACATTTGTCGAATTTGTTTTTTAATGAAATTGTAAGACAAATGGAGAATGCTTTTCTGGAAGAAGCCAAACGCCGATACGGTCGACCTTGTATAAAAACAGTACGATTAGAGAGATGACAAACCGTAGTGGTTATAGAAGTATTAATGTATACGAAAATCTGTAAATAAATATATTGTAAACCTCTTTTACATGTCATTTCTTGTAAGTGCCGCTATAACCTATAAGTACCTGCGTTGCATTTCTAAATTATTGCTTCACTAAATATTATAACCATTCATGAAAATGATAGATTTGACATATTAACTAATATATCTTAGTGCTATAAAGTAAAGAATCGTAGGAATTTTGCATTAATTATGCAATAATTTATTAAAATGTAGAAGCGCCATCTCATAGAAACGGTTGGAACTATTTTCACTAATAACTTGGGCGTTTTCCCACCGATGGCGCCACCAACTGTCATTGTCGTTGCCATCTAGCGTTGAAAAGACCGAACTAATTTTCGGAGTTTGGTCAGCGCCTCTATCGGGAAAACGCTCAAGTTTGTCGTAAATAGTTCCTCTTTTTACTGGTAGATGGCGCTATTTACAGTATTTTTTACCGACCTGTCGATACATTACCACCATGTCGGTAAATGACACTGCTAATGGCGCCATCTAGCAGTAAAAGTAAGAACTATTCGAGGACAAAAACGATACGCAACGGTTTACGCGATACAGCAACGTTCCTCTAAAATATACACCTGGGTAATGGAGTACAAATATTTTTCATTGGGGAGAAATTATGAATTTATTTGTACAAAAAAAAAAAGAGTTGTTCAATGGAACGAAATATAGTAGTCACAGTTCGACAGCGTGATGCAGGCGAATTCGATTAAAGTGTATTCCACAATATAGAGCGTACTCGTAACATGAAATATAAAACTCTCATCATTATCAACTATTATATATCGTTAACTTTTGAACATGGTCAACATATAAATATACAGTCATCACGTTAAGTTAAATGTATAATCCATACAGTACATATACAGCGAATCTATACACGGCATAAGTAAAAGATTCCTACACATCAGATGTCTATTTTCTGTTCGTTTTGTTGTTGTTCTTTCGATGCATACATAAATGTATAAACACGTGTATGCGAAGTATATATATATATATATCTTGGAATATATCTCGCTAATACAATTATACAAAACGCTACAGCGAAATCTATGTTCGTTCGTGGTTCCAAGTGATATTTTTTGTTTTTCTTACATTTTTCCCTTATAGAAATATACATTTACCAATGGGGTGGTACGCAGGGACGCTACCCGATTAGAAAAAGAGAACCGAGATGTAATAGGAAGCCCAAAACTTTTCCTGAATTTGTGAGAACTCCTACGCAGTTAGTTGAGAAACTGATTTACAATTCAGAGTTTCTACATGGAAAAATGATTGGCGTACGTTTCATTACATACGGAAATCGTGAAACGTTCGAGCATAAGTCTACCGCGGATTTAGATTACGCTTCACGTGGATTTTGTTCCTCAGCTGACAGCGTTGATGTTTTTATGACGTCGGGACAAGTTTCGTGCCTCGTATTGTACAAGAATGAACGGAACAAAAAAAAGTATATATATATGTATATCATATACACATCGAAAAAGTTTCCATTTACACGAATTACAAAGAACAGTATTGGTTCAACGGACAATGTCTCCCTTTACCGCAACACTTTAAATTGCTTACGTAACATTTTGGCACTGATAGCGAAGAATTCTGGTAGACTTTAGAAGAATTTACGTAGAAGGATGACACTGTTGCGTCAGGAGCGACGAATCTTTAGGCCATCACCAATATGTGTCTATATATGTGAGTCTATGTGCAGTGGCACATTATCCTATAGGCAAAAAGGACGTTTTGTCTAGGAATAAGTTTCATTACGTGAGAACTTAGTATAACTAAGTATTATCATCGATGAATTATCAATTTAATAAATACGTATTCGAATGATATTGACGATGACGTTGAGATATGAGATCGAATTTGAAAATGTTCTTTACGTTTTAAATATCATTTTCATTTTGGTCAAAAATCATTTCTCATTTTTGCAAAAATATAATGTGCTACTGTGTGTGTGTGTGTGTGTGTGTGTGTGTGTGTGTGTGTGTGTGTGT